TGGGTAAGGTGAGTAGGGTGCAGGGTGGGTAGGATGGGTAAGGTGAGCAGGGTGCAGGGTGGGTTGGGTGCCAAGGGGTGTAGGATGAGCGGGGTGCAGATAGGTAGGGTGACAGATAAGTGGGGTGCAGGGTGACAGATGAGTGGGGTTCAAGTGGGTAGGGTGATAGCTGAGTGGGGTTAGCTAGGGTGGATAGGGTGATGGGTAAGTGGGGTGCAGAGTGGGTAGAGTGACAGGTGAGTGGACGCAGAGTGGATAGGGTGAAGGGTGAGCAGTGTGCAGGGTGGATAGGATGGGTAAGGTGAGCAGGGTGTAGAGTGGGTAGGGTGGCAGGTGAATGGGGTGCAGAGTGGGTAAGGTGAGCAGGGATAGAAATAGTAGGATCTGCAGATGCTGGAGAATCTGAGATAACGAGGTGTAGAGCTGGATGAACACAGCAGGCCAAGCAGTGTCATAGGAGCAGGAAGGCTGACGTTTCGGGCCTAGACCCTTCATCAGAAAGCAGGGTGCAGGGTGTAGGGTGACAGGTAAGCGGGGTGGGAAGGGGACCAGGTAGATTCTTAGGTGGGCCCAGGATGACACAGGGTTGACTGGTATCCTGGGAGGTGGGGGACCGGTCCTGGGAGCAGAAAGGTGCATTGGTTCAGGCAGTGAGTGTAGGGTTTGTCAGGTCCCAAGCAGAGCCAGGTCTCTGGGAGGATAGGGGATATTTTTTCAGGTCTTGGGGAGTAGAGGGTCATTGTTGTGAGGTCTAGCAACTAGGGAGAGTTGTGGGAGGCAATGCCAGAGCGATGGTGCAGTAGAGTCGTTGGGACTCGAGAGGGGGATGGTGATGACCGATATTGGGTCAGGTGACAGCTGGATTTCCTTCCCAAGTGCAGGGCGTTTTATGTTGGACCAGATTGTGGGGTTGGGGGTGTGGTGTAGTTGAGAAGGTTAGTTGAATAGTTACTTGAGTTAAACTAAGTATTAAATAATCTAAGTGACTATTTATTAACTGCAACGAATCCTCCAATTGTAAATTTTTATAGGTTTACTTTCATAGGTTTCCAGAAAGAGGGAAATCCTCCATCAGAATTTTGAATTTCCCAGGTAATTCTTTCAGATTATCTCTGTGGGATTTTGTAGGGGCCTGACATGCAGCTACTATCTATACTGCAGAAATGACTATCTGGCCACTGGAAAATCCTGGTCTATGTTACAACTATATTGCAGCAGCCACGGCCATTATCAGCAGGATCCTGAAAGGCTTCTTCCTGTCTGATAATCCGAGTTCTGGGGCTGACATGGGGGCTTGTTCATGCGTGTACATGTGTGATTCTGTTCTTCCCTCCAGCTAATAGGGTCAAAAGCAGTTTTATCTCCCTTCATGAATTCCTGAACAGGAAAGTTATCGGGGTGAATCTGTCTACACCTACTAACACCTGTTACCCTCTCCCTGCATCCACCTATCACCATGCCACCTACCTCCCCACCCCCAGCACTACCCGTCCTCCCTGTATTTTTTCCCAGCTCCCCCCCCCCCTCCCCCCTCCACAGTCCTGAAGAAGGGTCCTGACTGGAAATGTCGGCTTTCCTGCTCCTTTGATGCTGCCTGACCTGTTGTGTTCCTCCAGCTCCACACTGTGTTGACACTAATTCTGCTCCTGTATCTTATGCTCTTTTGGTTTTCAAGTTGCTTAGAAACAAGATTGTCATGGTAGCAGCGAGCAAGTATTACCTGTTTAGCGAGTCTAAAGTTCAACTTTGAAGGATTTGCCAACCCTTTAAACTGCAATAGTGGAAACATTTGTTAATCTGTCCTTAAAATATTGTTGCAGTACATTGTATTATTTAAATTGCAATCGACACAATGTAAGACAATTATGTGTAATACATCGATATCCTTTTCACCGAAAGGTGTGGGTTTGAGGGCGTCATGCTGCTTTAAAATCAGGACTAACTGCTTTTTGCATTCCACAGGCTGACAACAATCTTATTCAAATGACTTGTTGTGAACGGAGACGGTTTCACACCTGATCCAATTGAAGGGCAGTGCCGGAAACAATACCTTTGGAAAAACAGGAAAAAAAGGTAAGGCGGTGTTTATCAAGAGCTGACTGCTCGAAGCCCTGACCTGGGGAAGTTGAAGTGGTGGTGCGGGCTCCCACTTGCTGCCGGCTTCAAGGTCCAGCCCCGGGCACATCCTCCAGCTATTACCCCACTCGAGCTCCCTGTGTGGGGCCTTGGTGAGAACACGGGCTCTCAGTGAAGAAGCTTTCTCTCATCAATTTGCAAACCTTGGAGTCGATTTAAATATTGGGGTCAAGAGGTGACGTGATAGGTTGGGTGTTGACATTAGATAGTGACTTTTTAAACAACTGTTTTAACTTTCCAGATTTGATGGTGTGTAGCATTGTGTTATTGGCTGGTCAGCAAAATGGAGTTTGCCAGTAGTCATATTTACATTGATAGTCCTGTCAAGACACGCCCGGTGCAGCAACCTGATTTTTACAGAAACCACCCAATGGGGACTTTAAGGAACACTGTTCTGAGTAAGTATTTGTAAGTAATCATGTTTTATTTTCAATGATCACATTCATTCACTGACCCCTGTTCCTGATTATTGATAGATAAAAAGCCATTGGCTCATGTCTATGACCCATTGGTAGACTGCAACCCAACATATGAAGGAAAGGAACCTGGCAGTGCCTCTGTCGTTGACTCTGTGGAAAGTGAAGGACCCATATATGACAATTTGAACCCAGCAATTGCTGTTGCCCCTGATGACAAGCTGAGCTTTAGCCCAGACATTGGACTCTGCGACCTGGCATCTAGTTCTGCTCCAAGTGACATCACAGCAGCAGAACCATTCTATGATGTGGCAGAAGGTTCAAGCAATTACTGTGGAGATGGGAGGAGTTCTGGCTCTCAAACTACCCAGCACCTGGCCAAGCCTCTACACCCCAGGCATCGCCTTGGTGACAATGCCCATGGTCAGTATTTTCAAAATAACTTGTAGAAATAATTATTTCTGTTCTTGGTACAGTTTTCCTAACCAGTGATCGTTGCCATTTCCTGAACATTTCTTTAGGTTTTTCTCTCTGTCTGCCTTTCATAGGACATGGATCCCTGGTCATTTCTCAAAGTTTCTGTAAAGCTTGGCCTTAAATGATGATTTATTTCTTGCAGCAAAGTTACTCCTCAACAAAATTACAATATTGCAGATGCTGGAGATTGAAATAAAGAGAAAATGCTGGAGAAACTCAGATATGGCAGCATTTGTAGAGAGAGAATAACATTGATATTTTGGGTCCAATATGATTGTTCTTTAGAATGGAAAAGTGGTGTAGAAGTGTGAAGGTGTTATCCTACAGAAAAAGTTGAGAAGGTGGGGAGAAGGTTAGAGGACAAGGGAGGTTAGAGGTCACATGTCACCAAGCAAAAGAAGTGATTGAAGTAAAGCTTAGGTCTAAATAATAGAATAGTATCTCTACTGAAAGCAAAACCAAAAGAAAGCCGGCACTGGGGTTTATTGGTTGGTGGGGGGCAAAAGAGGAGAATAGAATTAATTGTCTGAACTTGTGTACTCAGTGAGTCCTGAAGGCTGTAAAGGTCTGTTCCTCCAGCTTGGGTTGGCCTTCATTGGAATCCTGCATCAGGCCTAGAATTGAAGTGATAGCATCCAGACAAAATGGTTCATTGAAAATAGCAAGCAACTGGAAGACCATGAAATATAGGAGCAGAAGTAGATCATTAAACCCACTGAGTCTGCTCTGCCATTCAGTGAGATCTTGTGGCAAGGAATGACTGCTGTCCCCTGACATTCAATGGTCTTAATCCTCATGAAATTTCCTGCTATCAACATCCTGGGGTTACTATTAACCAGAAATTCAACTAGACTTGCCATGTAAACACAGTGGCTACAAGACTAGGTCAAAGACAAGGAATACTGCAGTGAGTAACTCACCTCCTGACTTTCCAAAGCATGTCCATCATCTATAAGGCACAAGTCAGGAGTGTGATGGAATACTCCCCAGTTGTCTGGATGAGTGCCGCTCCAACAACTTTGAAGAAGCTTGACACCATGCAGGACAAAGCAGCCCGCTTTATTGGCGACACATCCACTCCCTCCACCACTGTTACTCAGTAGCAGCAATGCTTACCATGTACAAGATGTGCTGCAGGAATTCGCTAAAGATCCTTAGACAGCACCTTCTAAACCCACAACCACTTCTGTCTAGAAGGACAAGGGCAGCAGATACATGGGTACACAACACTACCTGCAGTTTCCCTTCCATTTTGCGTAGGGGTAAGCAGATTCAGGCTCCTGAGTCCAGGACTTGTCTGTTTCTTTTTCTGTCCACTTTTTTTTCCCTCTCTTTATTCTTGTCTTTCATTGGTGGAAGGGTAAGTGTGGACCTGGCTGTATTGACATAGATGAGGTGGGCCCAGCGGTGAAGAGGTGGAGGCTGTAATGTTGATGGGTCTGGTGCTGGCGGCAGTGAGGCGAGGTGGACCCAGTGTCGAGAGATGGCACCTGGAACGTGGCAATTCCAGTGTTGGTGGGTCCAGAAAAAAGCGTTGGGTGGCATCAGCGTGAAGCCTTGTCCTGGAGCAGCGGTTATGGAACAAAGATGAATTCTCTTTCAGTTATTTTAAGTTATTCAAAATGACACCAGAGCGTGGCAACTGTGGAAGCTTATCACTGTATTTTCCCTTAAATTCAAGTGATAATAAATCATTCAATTCAGTTCAAATTTGAGCCACTCCCCATCCTGACTTCGAAATATATCGCCGTTCCTTTAGTGTCACAGGGTCAAAATCCTCGAACACTCTCCCTAATGGTATTGTAAGTCTATCTACAGCACATGGACTGCAGTGGTTCAAGAAGGCAGTTTACTACCACCTTCTCAAGGGCAACTAGAGATGGGCAATAAATGCTGGCCAGCTAGTGATACTCACGTCCCACAAGTTAATATCAAAAAGTTTCATGGATGATCTGATATTCCTGAACTCCACTTTTCTGACATTTCCCTTTAACCCTTGATTCGCTTACTGATTAAAAATCTTCCTGTCTCGGCTTTGAATATACTTAACAACCTGGCCTCTTCAGCCCTCTGGTAAAGAATTCCACAGATCCTCTACTCTCTGAGAGAAGAAATTTGTCTTCCTCACTGTCTAAAACAGGCAAGGTCAAAAACCCCGTGACACCAGGTTATAGTCCAACGGGTTTATTTGAAAATGCAAGCTTTTGGAGCTCAGCCCCTTCTTCAGGCGTAGTGTGAGAGAGAAGGTGTAAGCCACTGACTTTACAAACAGAAAGGTAACAATGCTAAAACTGGCAGCCTCTTCTTGAATCTTAAAGTCGTGTGATTGTTTTTTGACTTTGTCCACCTCAGTCCAACACTGACATGTCCACAACATAAAACAGGCAACTCCTTACTCTGAGGCTGTGCTGTCTGATCCTAGACGCTCCCAAAAGGGGATGTAACCTTGCTGCATCTACCCTGTTAAGTCCCCTAAGAATTTTGAATGTTTCAATACAATCACCTCTCATTTTTCTGAACTTCAATGAATACAGACCACTTCTCCTCATAAGAAAATTCCTCAATACCTGGGATCAGACTGGTGAACTTTTTTTTGGACAGCTTCTAATGCAAGTAAATCTTTCTTTGGATAAAGCAACCAAAACATATGAGCTTGATTCATAATTTCAATGTGCATCTTTCTGATTTCTAAACTCACTTTAGTCAAAAATGCAGAGGGCTGTAGAAAGATCAATATTTCAGTATGTTTAATAAAGTGTAGAATTTTTACAGGATGTATAAAAGCCCATTGGCCCATTGTGTCCCAGTCATCAAACATCTATCCATTCTAATCCCATTTTCCAGCACTCGGCCCATAGCCCTTTATGCTGTGGTGTTTGAAATGCTTATCTAAGTAGTTCTCAAATATCTTGAGGATTCATGCCTCTACCACCCTTTCAGACAGTGAGTCCAGATACCCACAACACTCAAGATTGAAAAAAACGTTCCTCAAATCCCTTCTAAACCTCCTACTCCTTACGTTAAAACTGTGCCCCTTATCATTGACCCCTCTACCAAGGGGAAAGATTTCTCCCTATCTACTATGTCTATCCACCTCAGCACTTTGTACACTTCAATCAGTGTCCCCCTCCACCTTCTCTACTGTAGTCCAAGCCTGTCTTATTTGTCTGTCTTAGCTGAATTGCTCCAATAATGGCAAAATCCTGGTGAATCTCCTCCACACTATCTCCAATGCAGTTCCTATAGTGTTGCAATCAGAACTACACACTGTATTCCAGCTAACCAGTGTAATCTAACTAATGTCTTGTATAGCTCCATCATAACCTCCTTGCTGTTGTGTTCAATGCCTTGACTAATAAAAACAGCTATCCTACATGCCTTCTTAACTACCTTATCTACCTGCCCTTTTGCTTTCAAGAGGCAAAGGTAAGGTGAAGGTTGACCGATTTCTGATTACCAATGGCTTAAAGTGGGTAATGTGGGTAAAAGGCATTTGAAGTGTTTAATCAGCCACAATTGTATTAAATGGCAGAACAGACTCTGGCTAAGTGACCTATCCCTGTTCTTATAACCATGAATGCGATGAAAATTGTTCAGTGTTCCAAGTATGGCCTTACTTATTTTACTGTAGTTTTAGCAAGATTTCCCTCCATGAAGCTGGGCTAACTCTGCTTGATCATATTATGTATTTCTAAATTATCTGCTAATACATCTTTTTATCAAACTCTAGCATTTTCTTTATATGAGATGTTATGTTAACTGGCCTGCAATAGCCCATTTCCTGTCACCCTCCCTTTTGAATAAAGATGTTATGTTTGATAGTTTTCCAATCCTCTGGGACTTTCCAGAACTAAAGGAATCAAAGCAATGTAATCTTCCAAGATTACTGTAATGCATCTACTGTCTCTGAAGCTACTTCCTTTAATATCCTAGGATGTAATCTGTGATGCCCAGAGCACCAGTTGGCCTTTAGTCCTATTAGTTTTCCTAAAAAAAAATCTCAAGTGAGAGTTATTGTATTTATGTTTCTTCCCTTTTTGACTGTTGGTTACTTAGTAATTTTGGTTTGACGTTAAAGTTCATAACCACAAAGACTGATGCAATTTATTTAACTGCTCGTCAATTACCTGGTTCCTCATTATTTTTTTCCCAGCCTTACTCTCTAAGGCGCCCATATTCACTTTGGCTTTTTTTGTTCCTTATATTTAAAAAACAAGTTCTAACTGTCCATTTTTGTATTACTGGCTAGTTTACCCTGAGGGTTTATTTTTTTCCCTCTGCTTGTGGACTGAGTGGAGGTGTAATGTAGAGTAGTTACCCATCTGCCTTTGGTCTCCTCAATGTAGCAATCGCAATATGAACAGTGGACTAGATTGAAATAAGTACAAGTAATTAGCTGCTTCACCTGAAAGAATATTGGGGCCTTGGTCACTGAGGAGGCAGGAGGTAAAAGGGCACGAGTTACTTCAGAGTTTGGGTGAAGATTTGTAGCTCGGGTGCTGGTTGTAGATGTTGGCGTGTTCACAGAGCTGGGAGGTTTGATAGCAGACGTTTTGTCCCCTTACTAGGTGACATCCTCAGTGCTGTGGAGCCTCCTGTGAAGTGCTGTTATCTTGTGCCGGTTTAAATTTATTTGGCCTGGTTTTTGCTTCTTCCGATAAGTGCTGGTTCTGGCTGTGCGTGGTAATGGTCAGTATATTGGGTCTAATTCAATGTGTTTGTTGATGGAGTCTGTGGATGAATGTCAAGCCTCCAAGAATTCCCTGGCTCTCCTCTGTTTGGCTTGCCCAATGATAGTAGTGTTGTCCCAGTTGAAAGTGTGGTTTTTCTCGTCTGTGTGTATTGAAACCAAGGACATCTGGTCGTGTCGTTTAGTTGCTAGTAAGGGGACGAAACGTCTGCTATCAAATCTCCCAACTTGGTGAATGCGCCAACGTCTACAAGAGTTATTTCTCCTATGTTCGCAATGGAAGGAGCTGTGGGAGGGGGAAATGAGTTGTTTTGAGTTATCGAGGACTGGATCAGCTCCTGGCAGGGGGAAACATTCCTATGGAAGTCTGACAGGGGAGGGGAAGGAAAGGTATGTTTGGTGGCAGAGGATGATCCATTCAATGTGGAGGCTGCTGGGATGGATATTGAGGACAAGGGAACCCTATCGCTATTCTGAGGCAGGAGAAGAGTTGAGCGCAAATGTGTGGGAATTGAGTAGGACACTGCCCAGGGGCCTGTCTAGCACAATTGGAGGCGATTCCTTGGTTGAGAGACAAAGAAGGCACATTGGAAGTACCATTTGAGAAGCTAGCATCAATAGAACAGATGAAATGGAGGAACTGGGATAAGAGAATGGAGTCCTTTTAAAGGGTTGAGAAGTGTTGTTGTGGTAGCAGTGGAAGCTGGTGGGTAGTAACCACATTATGTATATGGCTAGTTCAATTCACTTTCTAGTAAATGGTAACCTTCCGAATGTTGATCATGGATTTGGGTGGGGAACATGTTTTAGGCAGGCAGGAGGAGTTCAAGTAGCAAAATCCATGATTTGTACTACTCCATGGCTACTACCCCTCTATCCTATGCAAAATTGTGGGCCTCGTTTACGTCATACCTGCAGCTGCCTGAAATGGAGAAGAGGCAGATGCCTTGGTGAAGATGTGATGCCCAAGGCCCAAATACCATCCATTAGCTTTCTTGTGCATTGTGTGACTTTTGGTTGAAGTCTGGGCAGTAGAGTCCCAGGTGAAGGCCCAAGTCCAAAGGGACAGGATTCTCACCAAATAAAGCCAAATTTCACATTTACCTCTTCTTTACCAATATGTTCCACAGCCAACCAGCAATGTATGAGCGTGACTCAGCTTTTCAAGCTACTTGAAGCAGCAATGTATGGCGAATGAGTGAATAGGGCAGTCACTCCTGGCAAATCATTTCAATACTAGGCTGCCATACAAAGGGGATTAAACCACCATCTTTAGCGTGGAAGAGTTTTCGGTGAAAGTGTAGACTTGCAGTGTTAGGACTGAAGGTGCATTTTTACAAAATGACCAATTATAACTGAGTAAAGGACAAGTTTGGACTGAACCTGAAGAGACAGGTACTATAGGGGATTATAGGACAAACCAGATGGGTTGAATGTTCTTACAAAAACAAAGTTGCTGGAAAAGCTCAGCAGGTCTGGCAGCATCTGTGAAGGAGAAAACAGAGTTAACGTTTCGGGTCCGGTGATCCTTCCTCAGTGCTGATGGTGGCTGGGAAAACGTCAGTTTATATGCTGAGAATAGGCAGGTGGGTGGGGTAGGGAGTAAATGATAGGATAGAGCCCAAAGAGAGAGAAAGACAGTTGGACAGACAAAGGAGTTGCTAACAATCAGGCTGGGAGGGTGAATAGTTGTTAATGGGGACTGTTAGTGACTAACAACGGGATGTGTGATGGCAGGCTATGTGGTAACAAGGCCTGGTGTGTGGGGTGGGGGGCAGGGACATGGGAGAGGCCCTAAAATGATTTAACTCCATATTGAGTCCGGAGGGCTATAGGGTCCCCAAGCGGAAAATGAGGTGTTGTTCCTCCAGCTTGCTTTGGGCTTCACTGGAATACTGGAGCAAGCCAGAGACAGAGATGTTGGCCAGGGAGCAGGGTGGTGCATTGAAGTGGCAGGCAATGGGTAGTTCAGGGTCTTTTTAGTGAGCAGAATGTAGATGTTCTGCGAAGCGGTCGTCAAGTCTACGCTTCGTTTCCCTAATGTAGAGGAGACCACATTGTGAGCAGTGAATGCAGTAGACTAGATTCTGGGAAGTGCAGGTGAAGTGTTGTTTCACCTGAAAGGTATGTTTGGGCCCTTGGATACTGGGGAGGGAGGAGGTAAATGCGCAGGTGTCGCACCTTCGCCGGTTACAAGGGAAGGTGCCATAGGGCTGTGGGGAGGTGTTGGTGGTGAAGGAAGTATGGACTAGGGTGTCCCAGAGGGAACGGTCCCTGCGGAAGGCAGACAAGGGAGGAGAGGGGAATATGTGTCTGGTGGTGGCATCTTGCTGGAGGTGGCGGAAATGGTGTCTGATGATCTTCTGGATGTGGATGCTGGTGGGATGGTAGGTGAGGATAAGGGTAACCCTATCGCTGTTGCGGGAGGGAAGAGAAGGGGTGAGGGTGGAAGTGCGGGAGATAGGTCGGACCTGGTTGAGGGCCTTGTCGACAACGGAGCTGGGGAATCCTTGGTTGAGGAAGAAGGTGGACATTTCGGAGGCTCCCTTGTCAAAGTTGGCCTCATCTGAACATATGCGACGGAGACGGAAGAACTGAGAGAATGGGATGGAGTCTTTACAGGAAGTGGGGTGTGAGGATGTATAGTCCAGGTAGCTGTGGGAGTCGGTGGGTTTGTAATGGATATTAGTGGCCAGTCTATCCTCAGAAAAGGAAACAGAAATGTCGAGGAAGGGAAGGGAGGAGTCAGAGATAGACCTGGTGAAAGTGAGGTTTAGGGTGGAAATTGGAGGCGAAATTGATGAAGTTTTCCAATTCCAGACGAGAGAGGGAAGCAGCGCCGATGATATCATCAATGTATTGGAGAAAGAGTTGTGGGTGGGGGCCGGAATAGGACTGGAACAAGGAATGTTCCACGTACCCCATGAAGAGACAGGCATAACTAGGGCCCATATGGGTACCTATGGCAACCCTTCTTACCTGAAGAAAATGAGAGGAGTTGAAAGAGAAGTTGTTGAGGGTGAGGACAAACTCGGCCAAGTGGAGGAGGGTGGTGGTGGGTGGGGATGGTTCAGGTCTTTGCTCCAGAAAGAGGCTGAGAGCCCTAAGACCCTCCTGGTGGGGAATGGATGTGTAAAGGGATTGCACATCCATGGTAGAGAGGAGGTGGCTGGAGCCGGTAAACTGGAAGCTTTGAAACCAGCATAAGGCATCAGATGAATCATGGATGTATTAGGGTAGGGATTGGACCGGGGGAGAAGACTGAGTCAAGGTAGGAAGAGATGAGTTGTGGATTTTTGGCAGGAGGTAGAAACGAGCTGTGCGGGATTGGGGGACTATTAGCTTGGAAGCAGAGGCGGGGGAGATCACCAGATCAAATGAGATCCGTAACTGTAGTGGATACAATGGCCTGATGTGCCATGGTGGGGTCATGGTCCAGGGGAAGGTAGGAGGAGGTATCTGAGATTTGGCGCTCAGCCTCTGCAAGGTAGAGGTCAGTACGCCAGACTACAACAGCACCACCCTTGTTGGCAGGCTTGATAACAAAGTCAGGGTTAGATGCTTATTTATTTCTTTATTTGCTTATTCCTTATTTGCCCATGAGACATTTTGGGCGGAATGATTGTTGTTTATTTGGTGTATATAATATTTATCTTTGTGTCTATTGTGTTTTTGCTCAATTGCAGGCACACCCCCTCCACTTCCACCTCGACCAAGGAATTTGAAAAAAGTGCCTGATTATGTGCAACTGCTGGATTTGCCTCCCACTAAAGGGCCTGGACACTGGACATTGCCAGTTTCCCGCTCTCTGCCCCCTCCTTTGCCGGATAGAAGTAAGTGAATTTGTTGCGCGTGGGATTTTGAGGCTGAGAATAATAGCAACATTTTTCCAAGTACTGGGAAGGTATGAAACTGAATCAAACAAATAAACAGTCTGGCATTATTGCAAATTGTGGAAACTTTACAAACTAGCAATGTCGTAACCTGTTTTTGTCCCAAGCAGAAGGAACGATTTTTGGTAAGTTGTATGTGTGACATGTGCAGAAATTCATCACCCACTTTCGGTGTCTTGGGGAGGTTATGGGGAAAGTGTAGGGGCTGAGTCTTTTCTTCATGTGGCCTCAATAGTATCAGGTTTCCAAACACATGGAATTTATCAATTCGAAATTGTCAATGGGAATCAGTTGGATGATGCAATTCACAAGTTGGTCCCGTTTAGCTCCTTTGAATTGACCATGACAAGGGATCGGGTTGTCATCCTGTTTAAAGGTGAATTGATCTGCATGAGCTGGCTTGGATTCCTGTAAAACAGAAGTTGCTGGAAAAGCTCAGCAGGTCTGGCAGCAGCTGAGAAAAAATCAGAGTTAAAGTAAAGGAAGGGTCACTGGACCTGAAATGTTAACTCTGATTTTTTTTCTTCACAGATGCTGCCAGGCCTGCTGAGATTTTCCGGCAACTTCTGCTTTTGTTCCTGATTTACAGCATCCGCAGTTCTTTCGATTTTTATTTGGATTCCTGTAAACATGGGCCATGCTGAACTAGCTTTAGTTCTTTGAAGAAATGCAGTAAATTTGCCTTATATGGGTTTTTAATGATGTACTACGTTAAAGACTTAAAATGGAAAAACTAAAAGCAAGGGTGGGCATGTGGACGGGGAGATCGTTGAACGATAAAGCGTTAGATTAAAGTGATGGAATTTTCACTGTTGCTTCTCTGTGGGATTATCAGTGGCAATGCTATTTGTTGGGACATTATGAATAACAGCAGACTGAAGATATATAGTCACAAAATGTTGCAGTTTGGCTCATCATGCCACAGTGATTTCTTTAAAATAGTGATCTAATTAGTCCCACTTTCCTGTTATTTCCTCATAGACGTGCAGGGTTTTCCTTCAAGTATTTATCCCATTATCTTTTGCATGTAATAATTTGAATATCCCTTTATTGGGTGTAAATTTCAGATCACAACAGCTTGCTACATTATTTGGGGAAAAAAATGCTTTTTCCAGTGAAGGCCTCCAGTCAGAGTGCATTTTCTGCTTCCCCTTCCTCCTGTATTTCATGTGATAATTGAGTGCTTTTTCATCACTGAGCTGGTACAGGCATCACTAAGCTGTTTCCTTGTTTGAAATGAAAGTCCTAGGGCCCGTACTATCTAACCATGGTACAATCCCCATATTCTGGTCCAACCTGCCAATATCTGAAAGAACACTTCACTGGTTCGCTGATATGCTAAGATTTTACAAGATGCTAAAATTTACAAAAATGATTTGGAGATGAAGGACTTGCCATATAAGGAGCAGTTGAGGACTCTGAGTTTGAACTCAATGGAGATTAGAAGGATGAGGGAGGGTCTGATTGAAACTTACAGAATACTGAGAAGTGTGGATGGAATGGATGTGGAGATGATGTTTCCACTCGTAAGAGAGATGAAGATCCAAGGGCACAGCCTCAGAGTGAGGGGTGACCCGCTAAAACTGATGTGAGGAGGAATCTCTTAGCTAGAGAGTGGTGTATCTGTGGAACTGATTAGCACAGAAGGCTGTGGAGGCCAAGTCACTCTGTCAAATCGACAGAGATAGATATGTTCCTGGGGCCTTTGAAGCAGTTCTGAGGAATAGAGTTCTGAGAAAGGGCCACTGGACCCGAAACGTTAACTCTGATTTTTTTTCTTCACTGATGCTGCCAGACCTACTGAGGTTTTCCAGCAACTTTGTTTTTGTTCCTGATTTACAGCATCCGCAGTTCTTTCGGTTTTTGTAGATATGTCCTTGATTGCTAATGTGATCGAAAGTTACATGGCTGAGGCAGGAGAATGGGGTTGACGAACACATCAGCTGTGATCGAATGGCAGAGCAGACTCATGAGCCAAATGGTCTAATTCTCCTCCTTTGCTTCACGGTCTTGTTTTGCTGATTGCTTCAGGTTTGGTTCAGAGTCTAGGTCCCATTAAGTGACAGGGTTACTTGCGCAAATAATGTTTTGACTGGATTGTGTTTATTTATATATATGGCCTATTGAGTGGTACTCACTTGTGCAAATTTCCTATTGCAACTTCAGTCATCAAAATACACTGTTTCAGGATCATTGTCCATTATTTTACTTGTTTCTCCAGAGTGTGATTCTATCCACTGATTCCAGGTTCAGTATTTTGGTGCCTCATGCTGAAACGTCTTTACTGGGCTGCAGAAACATTGACGTCTTGTTTTCCTTTCTTTATTAGCCTTCGTGAAACCAGAAAAGGAAGAATTGAAGGGAAATATCAATGTGGTATTAGTGAACCTGGGAAAGCTGGTGGACATCAAGAACGGTAAACATTAAAATTCATTTTAAGATTCACTGATCCTATAATCGTGGTAGCACATGATTTATTACACAGTGCATATACAGTGCAAGCTCCATTGTACAGTATTATTATTCTGAAAAGTAAAGTCACCACAGGGTCATAGTAATACATTCTCATTAGAGAGAGATGGCTGGGGGTGATTTTAACCTGAGGGTCAGTACGTCTCAGTCAAAGGGGCAAAGTTGAGAAGGTGATGTGGTGAAGGTAACTGAACCTGCACTTTGCGTCACAAACCAGCTGTCACTAATTGGTGGCCTGATAGTAGATACTGAAATAGTAATACAGAGACCCAGGCTAATGATCCAGGTACATGGGTTCAATACCTACCACAGGAATTCCTTCCCTACGAGCATTGTGGACCAACCCACAGCAGGTGGACTGCAGCGGTTCAAGAAGGCAGCTCACCACCACCTTCTCAAGGACAACTAGGGACGGGCAATAAACGCTGGGCCCAGCCAGTGACACCCACGTTCCACAAATATGAATTGAAAAATAGCAGCTAGTGGGGTTTCAATTTCATTTAGAATTTAATATATATCAAGTCTCAGTGATGGGAATCATGATACAATTACTGCAAAAATCCATCTGGTAAACTCACAATCTGTTGTTCTTAATGGGTTGGGCCTAGTGGTGTTAACTTAGACTATTAATTCAGACAAAACAGTGTGGAGCTGGAGGAACACAGCAGGACAGGCAGCATCAGGACTGGGGAGGGGGAACGGAGGTGGGAAATAAATAGAGAGAGGAGAGGAGGGGTGGGGCTGGGGGAAGGATGGTGATAGGTGGATGCAGGTAGGCGATAGTAGGGATTGGCCAGTGGGATGGGTGGGTTGGATAAGTGGGAAAGAAAATGGTTAAGTTGTGTCAGATCAAGGAGGTGGGCATGAGAGGGAGGGTTGGACATGAGGCTAGCGGTGAGGAGATTTTGAAACTGATGAATTCTGTGTTGAGACCATTGAGTTGTAGGCTCCCGAATATGAGGTGTTGTTCCTCCAGTTTGCGTGTGGCTTCATTATGAGACTGGAGGAAGCCCAGAATGGATGTGACACCGTGGGAGTGGGAGTGGGAGTGGGAGGTGGTGTTAAAATGGTTGGCAACTGGAAGGTGGTGTTGACTGTAGTGTACAGAGTGCGTAAGCTCTGCGAATTGGTCATTGAGTTTGCTCTTGGCCTCACCGATGCAGAGGAGACCACATTGGGAGCAACGGATATCGTAGACCAGGTTGGTGGATGTACAGGCGAATCCACAAACCTGACTGCCCTGGTTGATCCATTGTCTCTGCCTGCTCCTGCCCCATGAACTCATCTCTGCTTACCTCGAACTCCCCACCTATATTCAGACACTAGCCATGCCCTCTGCCTCCTCCAATACTTTCAATTCCCTGGCTCCTAAATCTCATCTTCACTATGGACATCCAATCCCCGTACACTTGTATCCCCCACGCAGATGGCGTAAAAGCCCTCTGCTTCTTCCTCCCCCACAGGCCCAACCAGTCTCCTTCCATGACCCCCTTATTCACCTAATGGAACTTGTCCTTACTCTCAACAGCTTTTCCTTTAACTCCTCCCACTTCCTGCAAACTAATGGGGTGAGTATGGGCACCTGTATGAGTCCGAGCTATGCCTGCCTCTTCGTAGAATACTTGGAACAGTCCCTCTTCCACTGTTACACTGGCACCATCCGTCACCTCTTCCTCTGCCTGTGAGGAGCTTGAACAGGTCAACAACTTTACCAACACCTTTTACCCCAACCTCAAATTCACCTGGACCATCTTCTATACCTCCCTCCACTTCCTGGACCTCTCCGTCTCCATCTCTGGTAACCGGCTCAACATCGACATCTATTTCAAACCTACCGACTCCCATAGCTACCTGGACTACACCTCCTGTTACCCATCCTCCTGCAAGATTGCGATCCCTTACCCCCAATTCCTCCACCTCCACCACATCTGCTCCCAAGATGGAGTGTTACACTCCTGGATATCCCAGATTCCCTCCTACTTCAAGGACTGCAACTTCTCACCCACCTCCGTTGATCCACAGTGCCCTCAACCACGTCTCATGCATTTCCTGCACTTCTGCCTTCAAAACCGCTCACCCCAACAAAAATAAGGACAGAGTCCCCCTGCTCCTCGCATACCACCACACCAACCTCCGCATCCAGCACAACATCCTGTGCCACTTCTGCTACCTACAAACCAACCTCACCACCCAAGAGACATTTCCCTCCCCATCCCTATCTGCCTTTCGTAGGGACTGTTCACTCTGCGACCCCCTCGTCCGCTCCACAATCCCCACCAGCCCCACCACACCCGGCACCTTTCCCTGCAACCACAGGAAGTGCTACACCTGCCCCTACGCTTCCCCTCTCACCTCCATCCAAGGCCCAAGACAAAATGTACAAACACCTGTACATTCTCCATCCTGGTCTACTGTATCCATTTTTCCTGATGTGGCCTCCTCTACATCGGCAAGATCAAGCGCAGACTCAGTGACCGATTCGTAGAGCATTTGCGCTCTGTACGCTATAATCAACAGTGCCTTCCAATTGCCAATCATTTTAACTCTCCCTCCCACTCCCTGGATGACATGTCCATACTGGGCCTCCTCCATGGTCACAATGACGCCACTCGCAAACGGGAGGAACAACATCTCATCACCTACAGATCGATGGTGAATTATGTGTTAAGACCAGTTTCAAAATCTCCTCATCCCATGTCCAACCATTCCTCATCCCTGCCTCCTTGAGCTGACACAACCTGTCCTTCATCTTTCCTACTTTTCCACTCTACCCTTTCAGTGACCGATCCCCGCCACCCGCTACCTGCATCCACCTATTACCATCTCACCTACCTTCCCCCGCCCGTCCTTGCTTCATTTATTTCCAAGCTCCCTTCCCCATCCCCAGTCCTGATGAAGGTGTAAATCTGAAATGTCGACTTTCCTGCTCCTCTGATGCTGCCTGACCTGCTGTGTTCCTCCAGCTCCACACTGTATTGACTCTGACTCCAGCATTTGCAGTTCTCGTTATCTCCTATTAATTCAGACACCACAGGTAACATTCTGGTAACCAGGGTTCAAATCCTGCAATGGCAGATGATGGGATTTGAATTCAGTAAAAATTTGGAATTGGAGTCTAACAATGACTATGAAAACATTGAATGTTGGGGAATACCCAGCTGGTTCACAGATGTCTTTTCAGGAAGGAAACTGGCGTTCTTATCATTCTCAATGTGCCTCCTTACCCACAGCAATGTGGTTGACTCCAGTGTGTTCCCCTCTGGGCAATTAGATCTGCACAACAATTTTTGCCCTGACCAGTGACAGCTACATCCCATGAAAGTTTAAAGAACAATAAAGCCATCATAGGCTGACCTCTGGAATTACACTTGGATGGAAAAAATTAAGTTGTATCTACGTATTCGAGACTTCACTATATTAAAAAATACATTTCCATTCAATATGGTTGAATAACTTCAAGTACTCAATCCTCTGAAGAAACAAGCATTTATATTCCTAATTCCACTAACAGTCTTGTTGAGCTGTTACTCAAACTGTGAACTTGGAAGTCCATTCAATTATAATGATAGATTGTAGAAAGGGGCCAAGTATTAATAATGTTATGATATCACTTAGTGTTACATTAAGAACAGCTATTAAAAGTGTCAAACAGGGTCTGGGTTTTCCTGCTACTTTGGAAGGTCCCTGGAGTCTCCACTACTGTGAAGACCCAGGCTTTGATGATGACAGTCCTCCATTGTGAGGCTGTCTCCTGCAATGTATCATTCACATCTTAACCTTTGAGCTGTTATAGAAACTTTGCTTTAAAAATAAATGGGTATTTGCAGTCTAAGATTGGTGTGAAACACAATCTTTCCTTATTTCTTGTTCACTGTAATGATTGAGTATTTAATGTTTTGGTTTGCAGTGAAGCCACAGAAGCCTGCTCCAGTATACTGTCAGAACTGTTCAGCAGCTATGTCCACTCTCAGTAAAGTAGAGAATTTGCATGCTGTGGTGAGTAAGAGAGTTCAGTGCTTGGACCCCAACTATTCATAACGTATATTGGTGATTTAAATTAGGGAAATAAGTGTAATATCTTTAAGTTTTCAGATGACACAAAGTAGGATGGGAGGTGAACTATGAGGAAAATGCAGAGATGGTTCAGTATGATTTAGGCAAGTTGAGTGAGTGGGTAAATGCACGCATATGCAGTATAATGTGGATAATCGTGAGGTTATTTGCTTTCTAGCAAAAACAGGAAGGCAAGTTAATTTCTGCAAGGAGGAAGCAAGTACAAAGTAGTTTGGGAATGAGTGGAGCTGTTATTTGAGCAGTGTGGCCTGTGTTGATGAAGTTAGGCCTGAGTTATCCAACTCCCAAATTGGTAACATTTATGATATACTCAATTCCTATTCTATCATGAGTTTGTGTAAAACGTTGGGAAAAGGAGAGGTGCATCCAGACCTTATACAGCAGTCGCTGAAAGTTAGCATGCAGGGACAGCATGACAAAAGCAAAATGGAATGTCGGCCTTCATAGTGAGAGAATGTCTTGCTGCAATTGTACAGGGTCTGGTGAGATGACACCTGGAATACTGTATGCAGCTTTAGTCTCCTTATCTGAGGAGGAAGTGCAACAAAGATTTACCAGACTGATTCAAGACCACAATATATCGGAACAAAATTAGACCATTTGGCCTATCGAGTCTGCTCTGCCATTTAGTCATTGCTGAAATGTTTCCAAACTGCATTCTCCTGCCTTCGCCCTGTAACCCTTGATCCCTTCCTCTTTTAAATACATTCAATGACTTGGCGGCTATGGTCCTCTGCAGCAATGAGCTCCACAGATTCACCACCCTTTGGCTGAAGAAATTCCTCATCTCAGATCTAAAGGGCTGTCCCTTCACCCTGAGGCTGTGCCGTCAGGTGGTAGTCTCTCCTACTAGTGGAAACATCTTCTCCATGTCTACTCTATCCAGGCCTTTCAGTATTCTGTAAGTCTTAATGAGATCCCTCCCTTTGTCCTTATAATTTCCAAATACAGAACCAGAGGCCTCAACTGCTCCTCATATGACATTCCTGGGATGGCAGGACTGACATATGAAGAGGGATTGAATAAGTTAGGATAATGTTTACTGGAGTCTAGAAGAATGAGGGGAATCTTGTAGAAACACATAAAATTCTAACTCGACTAGACAGGGGAAATGCAAGAAGGATGTTCCTGATGACCAGGGAGTCCAGAACCAGGGGTCATGGTTTAAGGACTGTGATGAGGAGAAATGTTTCACTCAGAGAGTGAAGGGCTAACGGGTTTAAAGCGTTTGGGGTGAAAGCAGGAACAGGGTACTGAATTAGATGATCAGCTGTAATCAAATTGAATAATGAAGCAAGCTCAAAGAATCAGGTGACTACTTCTCCTATTTTCTGTGTTTCTATGTCTGATCATCCTACAGTTAGACTGCACCTACCCTCAAGTCATTAGCATCAGTCGCCATTTTAAAAGGTCTGGAAAAACCAGAGCAGTTAACATTGGTTAATTTATTAGGATTGCATTCACCTTCTCAAATGTTGCTTTGTATTCTGCTGATCAGATCACTTTTGTTGTTACCTTCATAAATTGGTTAAGGTGTTGCTGTTATGCAGAAGTTTCCACCAGCACACTCCTACAAGCCTCATGACTTACTGTTTTAGTTTTAGGAACGTGGAATTCTATTAAAGCTTTTATTTTCACTTGTCTGTATCTCCCCATATATCTGAGGCAATTTCCCCTTGCTGTTGTGAATTTGCTTTTGGCTAAGTTTATTACTCAGCCAGCTAAATGTAATTGCTTGGACAGGTTTCAGATTGTCTTACGTATTTTTCCCATGTGTCACTGTATATTGCAACATTGTCCAAATCAACTACACAGTTATGTGCTCGACCTACAGCTTAATTCATCACAGTTTGGAATGTAGCCGAGGCATTTTTTAAGCCAAACAGCTTCACTTGACATTTGTCGCATTGAATGAATTACACCAAAGTGGATATTTCTTTAATCCTGCATGTTAATGGCACCCCTTCATTAATCTTAGCAAGAAGTGGGGTGCTGCCAATCCTATCGATACAACTGTAGAATTGGATACAACCATTTTTTTTGGTGGATGCATTTACTCTTCTCTAGTTTGTACAGAGTGTGGTTGATTGGCTGACTCGATGAGTAAGGTAACCACACGGATGGGTGATTGGTATTCTAGGTGCTTAGTAGTTTGGGAATGAGTGGGACCAATATTGATGAAGATGGGCTTGAGTTGTCCAAATTCTAAATTATTAACGGTTGCAATATGTTCCGATTCCTGTCCCATTGTGGGTTTGTATAAGATATTGTTCAAGCTGCAATTTGGGACTTTTGGCCATTTCAAACAATCAATTCAAAAGCCATATTAATGCTAAGATTTTCCAAGGTAGAAATGTCATGGGAAATTGTAGTTATAGGGAGAAACTTGAATTGCATACATTATGATCTCAGCTGATGTTATTACTGGACAATTCAGATCTCAGACTGAAATCAGCATTGAAAGATTGGAGTTTGGGTTTTAAATATGTGGTCTTTCACTGAAACACAAATAAGTAATGCTGCAGGTTTGGTTTTAACAATATATAGCAGCTTATTGTTGGAAAAGTGAAGATAAGTTATAACATACCAAGCTACTTACTTAGAACACGCAAGTTTAAAGATTTAGAGCATTTGGTAAAAGACAATCCCATTAAACCCAACACCACTCCTTTACAGCACTGCAACTAGAGAGAATTCCCTTTTCATCCCCTCTTATGCATACTGTAACTTTGGCATCAATTCCCCAGCTTGAAAATCTGATAATCACTTCATGGAGTCTTCATAGAACTGAGCTTAGATTTTCTCAGCTTCACCAAGCACCTTCAGGTTTGCAACCAAACACTTCTGGTCCTGAAATTTTGAGCAAAATTGCTTCCAGTGAGGTACCCTATTTCTTAATAGTCATAAACTACCTTCCATTCTCAGAGCAACTGTTTTCCACATCCAGCTTTGCCAAAGACCTCTGCAAATTGCCAAACTGAAATCCAAAAAACTTTACTCAATCTGGGGTTGGCAGGGGTTCCCTAAATCCCAAAAAATTACAGAATCTTCTGTCTGGATGCCTAATTCACTACTGTTTACTTTGTTTGCTTATAAAAACCTACCAATATAAACAAATTCCCATTAGCACCCACCCACCTCAGAACGATCTCTCTCTGACTGTTTAAAAGAAAAATATATCACCGTGGCTGTAGATATACCTGCACGTTGATCATTAAACCTCTTCATAGACACACAGCTTAAATCCAAACTCCACAATAAATGACATTAAAATATAGTTGCATCACACTGCAAGCAGAAAAGTATTGAGGAGACTTCATAAAAGTTTTCAAAATTATGAATTATTTTCATAGGTGTGAAGAAGAAAAAATATCTTTACTGAAAAGATAATCAGTGCTGAGGAGTTTAAGGCTGATGTGGAATGGGGATCAATTTACCCGCATCTGTTCCATGTTTCCTATTGTTTTTATTGAGAGTAAGCTTTTCATCTGACATGCAGTTTACCTAGTCTTTTAAGAGACAGAATTCCATTCCACTTTATTGTAAAAATCTTCCCTGTTTTTACTCCTGAATAGATTGACTAATTTAACATAATTAACTTTATGTTGATCATTATTGCAGAATTGTTTTCCTCCTTATTAAATCCTCTTTACAGTATTTTCAACATCTTTATTAAATCATCCCTGCATATGCTGTTTTTTTGGAGTAATCATTTTTCAGTGGTTTATTGCAATGAATGACTTTTATCGTCATGTGTATTTTATAGCAAGAATACCATAAATACAGTGAAAAGCTTTCATTTGTCACCATGATTTGGCACCATTTAGAATGACTTAAGAATAAGGATAAAAAAGATGTAGCCTAAAGAGTCCATCAGTCCTGAGCCAGTGCATCATTGACATCTACATTGCCATCCCTTCTCCACCGCTTCGCTGCTGTCAGACCCAACCAATGTTGAAGTCTCCGATCCTTGGGTGCCATCTTTCACTGCTGGGCCGAGACTCCTCTGCCACCACCCCACCTGCACCGGACCACCAACATAAGAGTTGCATTTCTTGCTGCTGGGCCCACTTCATCAATGTTACTGTGAATGTGGAATGTTTAGGCATAGTTTTGGCTAAGGTAATTTAATTTCTCTTTGAAAAATTACACGGGTAATGCTGAGAATGAAGTAGGACTGTTGAGTGGATGTGGGGTTTAATTATGGATCCATTGATGTGACAGAGGCCTTTTCCCTTGCTTAAGAATTTGATGGTTTTAAGGATTAGTGCTGCCTCTTTTAATCAAATACACCTTTTTAAGTAACCTATGTCATCCGCCTCAGCATAATTTGACAAGAATTTCATTTGCTGTCAGATGTGGACGTGTGAATTCTGCAACAACAAGAATGTTCAGGATTATCGCTCAAATGAACCAAGCTTCGGAGATGATCAGATTTACGTTCACATCCCTAACCCTATGACCTCTGAGGATATTGACGATTCCCTGGTCGTGTTCTGTGTTGATATCTCTGGCAGCATGAGTGTGACATTTGAGGTAATTAGACTCGGAGGCTGTGTGCGACCCTGTTTTGCTATTTCATTTTAGAAGTGGTCAGCTAATGGCACCTGCATACTTTGTATTTAGATTTGTTTTAATGCTGTTTCCCACTGGTCTGATGTAGGCTGCTCAAAATGCGTCCCTGACCCACCGTCTCACTGCTCACAGCCTCTCCCACTCCCAGCCCCACCATTTTGTTGATCCCTGCTCTCGTTGACCGTTTTGCTCCCTGACTTACCCTACCTGCTGCTTCTCTCCTCCTGAAACCTGGCTCTGAGCATTGGTTCTGGGTATGAAAAATGTGCAACAGTAGGAGGAGTTTCAACTTCTAGGGATTTGGTTCTCTTCAAGTCGGTTTGTGATCTGTTTGGCCTCTTATTTATCCAAAATTTCTTGGTGGCAGATTCTCTGATCCTAACAATGAGACGGTTTCACAGTCATAAATTTAAAACTTCAAGATGACTAGGCTGGACTCGACACTAACGCTGTCTGCTGTGGTAACATCAGCTCAGCAGCAGAGGAAAGGGTGATTTTTTTTTTTGAAGCTGTTCTACCTGCCTTTCTTCTCTGATCCCCAGAGCCGTGGCTTACAGCAATAGTTCAGAACAGGCTAATGTGATAGTGAGGAGTTCAGTAGGTGGACCAATCAATGAGAGAGTGGGTTAGGGAGTGTTAGAGGCTACTCACCTGAGGATTGGTGGGGTGGTGAGTCAGGGGCCGACAGAAGCTGAGAATTTGGGAGCTGCTGAGAAGAAGAATCTAGCATCAGAATGGTCAGCAAGTCGGATATGTGGTGAGTGCAGGAAGTTACTACAAATAGATAGTTTTATATTTTGTAAGTTTATTTTACTTAATGATACAAGAAATGAGCAAAGTATTTCAACTCTAAGGATATAAAAATATAATTTTTTTTCTGATTGTGGTTGATCCTGCAGAATCTAACTCTAACTTTTAATATTGGTTTTAATGGAAAAATATCTTTCACTTAGAGATATTTCACTTATATTTGCAATTTTTCAGGAACACAGCTCCACTTAGTTAATTCTTGTCGTAATATTGGTGGGTGATGTAGCATGTTTGTGTTAATGAAGTGTTTACATAGTTCCTGATGGCCACTCATGGGAGGTCTTGGGGGGCAGCGGGTAGTGTCCCTACCTCTGGGCCAGAGGTTTTGAGCTCTCTATTTTTAGATTAGAGTACTACACACCTCTAGAGCAGGTGGGATCTGAACCCAGGCCTCCTGACTCAAAGGTAGGGATGCTACCACTGCATCACAAGACCCCTAGTTCTTCTTCATTCTTTTACTTCCCATCTAACTAGAACTATGATCACACGCGACTGAGCGACCTTCCCACCACCAAATCACTGTGACTTTTTTTGGTAAACTACTAATCACCATCATTAATCACCCAGAGATAGTAGGAACTGCAGATGCTGGAGAATCCGAGACAACAAGGTGCAGGGCTGGATGAACACAGCAGGCCAAGCAGCATCATAGGAGCAGAAGGGCTGATGTTTCGGGCCTAGACCCTTCATCAGAAAAGCTTTTCTGATGCTGCTTGGCCTGCTGTGTTCATCCAGCCCTGCACCTTGTCGTTATTAATCACCCATGCTGGGTCTGCTTCATTTTTTTCTTACATTAACCTGTTCAGAGATGTTATTAGACATGTCTGGAGCAGAGGGACTTAAACCTGGGCCTACTGGTCCAGTGGTAGGGACACTGCTGTTGTTTCACAAGACCCTCTGGGTCTGCTTTTGTTTTCCTTTTTCTGTTTTCTTTTTACCCAGAAGTGCTATTACGTACGATTGAGCGACCCTACCAGCACCAAAATCACTGTGACTTCTTTCTTTTTGCCTTTTTTTTTTAAAACTAGTAACCCCCATCAGTAAAATATCCACGTAGCCAATTGAATATTTACACCAAAGCCCATTGTGGGCAATGGAAGCCATTAAAAATGAAGTGGTGTGAGTAGGGAGAGAGGGAAGGAACTAAGTCAGAATGAATTTGGAGGGGGAGGGCACTGTATCCCTTGTGGTGCCCACCTTTTTCTGAAGCATTAAGAGCATTGATAGACGCTGTGTGCTCCTTCTCCAGTGACACCCGGGCACAAATGTAATCGTGGAAGAGGGGCAGACAGTTGGCAGAGATGAACCCCTCCACAGCCTGTTACCTGCACCTGTTTGTAGCCAACCTGGCCAGGCCCAGGAGGACACTTAGGAAGAAGTCCTCCAATCGGCCCACGCCCCTCCGCACCGGATTACCAAAGATCAGGAGCATGGGGCTGAAGTGCATCCAAAAACTCAACAGAAGAGTGTTCAAATAACCAAAAGAAGGACTGGAAATGTCCAAAACCAATATAAACATGAGGTTGTAGACTTGCTCGCTGAGCCGGTGTGTTTGAGTGCAAATGTTTCGTCACCCTGGTAGGTAACATCATCAGTGCGCCTCCAGTGACGTGTTGGTGTTCTGTCCCGCTTATAATTTATACGTCTCACTTTGCTGGGGTGGTTGGCATTATTTCCGGTTCTGTTTTTCAGTGGTTTGTGTATAGGATCCAGTTCAATGTGTTTATTGATGGAGTTCCAGTTGGAATGCCAGGCCTCCAGGAATTCCCTAGCATTCTCTGTTTGGCTTGTGCTATTATGGATGTGTTGTCCCAGTTGAATTCATGTCCTTCTTTGTCCATGTGCATTGAGACCAGTGAGAATTGGTCGTGTCTCTTGGTGCTAATTGTTCGTGTATCCTTATTGTCAGTTTTCTTCCAGTTGGGCCTATGTAATGTTTCTAACAGACCTTGCATGGTATCTTGTATATTGTGTTAGTTTTATTGGTTGTGGGTATGGGATCCTTTACATTCGTCAGTAGCTGTCGCAAGGTGGTTTTTGGTTTATGGGCTACCCTGATACCTAGGGGTCTGAGTAGACGTGTAGTCATCTCTGATATGCCTCTGATGTGTGGTAGAGTGACGAGTATGTCTGGCCGTATTGTGTCTTGTTGTGGTCTGTCGTGGGGGTAATGGCAGATTGTCCTATTTGGGTATCTATTCCTTTTAAGAACTCCGTATAAGTGCTCCTGTTTTGCTTAGCGCAAGTCCAGGTTGCTGCAGTGTGTTGTGGCTCATTTGAATAATGTCCTGGTGCAGCTCTGTTTATGGATGCTGGGATGGTTGCTGGTGTAATTAAGTATCTGGTCCATACGTGTGGTCTTTCTGTATGCGCTAGTCTGGAGTTCCCTGTTGTTTTTACGTTCTACCATTATGTCTAGGAAGGGTAGTTGGTTATTGTTCACTTCCTCTTTTTGTGAATTTTATCCCAGTGAGGATGTTGTTTATGTGTCAGTGGGTTTCTTCTAGTCTTGTGCGTTTGATAATTCATGAAGGTGTCATCTACATATCGGACTCGGAGTTTGGGTTGTATAGCGGGGATCGCTGTTCATTCTAACGTTTACATTACTGCTTCTGCAATCAATCCTGATATTGGGGATCACATTGGTGTTCTGTTGATTTGTTTGAATACACGGGTGTTGAAGGTGAAGTGGATTGTGAGGCACAGATCCAGCAGTTTCAGGGGGCTGTCCTTGTTGATGCTGTTGGTGTTGTGGGGTATCTGCCTCCCTTATTCGTCCAGCAGTGTGGCAATTGTCTCTTTGGCTAGGTCGATGTTTATGGATGTAAACAGTGCTGTTACATTGAAGGATATTATTATCTCATCCAGCACTGAGTTTCTGATGCAATTTGTTGCCCGTCACCAAGATCACCTATTTCTGTCATCAAATCATTATCTAACTGTGGGTCTACTGCAGCTCCTCTGATGCTGGAACCTTCATCCATACTTTACTTCCAGACTTGATGGATCCACTGCTTCTCACTCTGTCTTCCTCTTTGCATCTTAAAATTGCACAATCTGAGAACTGTACAGAGCAGAGGAGCTCTTTCAGCCTATTGTGCCTGCAGTGACTGAAAGAGCTGTCATCGTTTGGGGGTCCACATACCAGCTTTTCATTTCTAAGTTCCCCACCCTGGAGTATCTGTTTAACCCTTTTTGAAATGATTTGTGCCTCCTTTGACCCAGAATGATATTGCACTGTTTCCCTAGTGTGCTGAGTCTCTGCATCATTGTTCACATGTCAAATGCTTATGTACTGAGGTTCTGAAAGCATTGAGTGACGTGCTGGTGGTTCTTGTTTCTATATTGTATGTTTTAATTATTAGCATTGTTTTGATTACAGATGACTAGAAGCAGCAAATTGCTCTATATGACTCGCTTGCAGGTAAGAAACATTAAAACTTTGAAACCAGAAAATATGCGGAACAATGCACTGAACGCTGCCATTGCCATCACAGTATTGTGAGCGTGTCAGAAAGACTGTTGGCTGGGCTCACAGTGACCCCTCCTTGATACCATGCTGTTTAAGGCCAAATTATTTTTGATGATCACCACATTTGCAGTTTCTTCACAGTCATAACAACTCAATGTCAATTTTGACCCATGGTTGGGGAAGAAAAATTTCAGTGTTGGGAAACTGAGAGGAATGCAGAGAATGAAAGAAACATGTAGCAAAGAAAAAAAAAAAATCACCATCATTGAAAAAGACTAGAAAACATGTTAAACATCTGAAAAGGCTTTGCTGAGAGTGAAGCAAGGGAGAGTTAACAAGTTGTAAGAACAAGTGATAGATACAGTCGGGAATCTGCAGGAAAGTGATAGATGGGCCCAGCTCAAGAAGTCTGTATGTTGTTGGAAATGATGCTGCCTGAGAGTGAGACTGTGGTTTCTTTCCCTCTGCAGGGGATCAAATTGTTACATTAATACTGTTTAGGGAAGTTTTTAGTTCATTGTGTCAAACCAATTCATGGTGAGTGTGATGGTGCTTCCTTTGCTGCACTTGCCTTTCTGCCTCAGGTGGACTGATGGCTTTTCTAAAATGCATACTCACTCTCAATGCCCCTATTGTAGAAATGAAGCACAGCTGTCTAACAGTATAACTCTCCGTTAATTAATCTGGTTTGACTTCATCCCCATCTGATCTCGTTTCCTGTTGGAACCCTCAGCCATGCCTTGTTACCTCTTGACTTGATTATTCCAAATTATTTCTGGGCAGTCTCTCATTTTCCAACCTCAATAAATTTGAGCTCATCCAAAGTTTGCCTATCCATACCCTTACTCGCATCGACGCCTAGAACTCCTTCCCTGACAGCACTGTGAGCTGTCTACACCCTGAGGACTGCAGTAGTTCAACATCTCAAGGTAGATCACCTTCACTTTCTCCAGGGTAATAAATGCTGGCCCAGCCAGTGATGCCCACATTCCATGACTAAATAAATACCTTAAAATAATTTTGCAGTACTTTTCTGGTCAAATGTGCAGGAATAACAGATCCTAGCTAGATGGGTAGAAATAAGGGAGCATGAAATCCCCAAGATATTCTAAAAATATTTCAAGAGGAAGAGGATAATCAAGGGAAGGAAACGGGCCCATTAGGGACCAAGGGGGAAATCTGTGCATGGAGCCAGAGGACGTTGATAGGGTTTTAAATGAGCACTTCACAGCTGTCTTCACTTTGGAGAAGGACATTGTAGGTACAGAATTCCAGAAGTGGAACTGTGAGGTTCTTGAACTGTTCACCACAAGGAGTGAGGAAGTATTGGAGGTTTAGATTGGTTTAAAAGTGGTTACCTTCTCAGGTCCAATCGGGTTGTATTCCAGGCTGCCGTGAGACGCGAGGCAGGAAATCACAGGGGCTGAGACCCAAATTTTTAATTCCTCTCTGGCCACAGGGTAAGTGCCAAAGGACTAGAGAGCAGCTAATATGGTTTTACTTTTCTAGATAAATGTTAAGGTTAAACCAGGGAATCACAGACCAGTGAGCCTGCAATGTCAAGGTTTGATCAGGGATAGTAAGCGTGGCTTTGTCAGAGTGATGTCATGCCTAACAAATTTGATTCTCTTTACAAGGAGGTGATCAGCTGGGTAGATAAGGATTTAATTGAATTTCAGCAAAGTCTTTAGCAAGACACCACATGAGAGACTGGTTAAAGAAAGTAAAAGCAGAAGGAATCTGGGGTAACTTGGCAAGTTGGATCCAAAATTGGCTTAGGGACAGGAGACAGAGGGTGGTGGTTAAAGGTTGTTTGTGTGACTAGAGGCTAGTGTCCAGTGGCTCACCACAGGGATCAGGGCTGGGTAGCTTTTTGCTCATGAATGAATAAATGACATAGAAGAAAATGTGAGGGGGGATGATAAGTTTGCGAATGACACAAAGATTAGCTGAGTCTTGATAGCGAGTAAAAAAGGTCTTGGGTTACAAGAGGTTATAGATGAATTGATCAGATGGGCAGATCAGTGGCAGATGGAATTTAACCCTGAGAAGTATGAGGTGATGCACTTTGGAAGATGTAACAAGACAAGGGAGTACTCGGTGAATGGCAGGATACCAGGAAGCTCAGAGGAATGGAGGGATCTTGGGATGTTTGTCCACAGATCCCTGAGGGTGGCAGGACTGATTAACAGGGTAATTAAGAAGGTATATGGGTCACTTATCTTTATCAGTTGTGGCATTGAACAGGGAGGTTATGTTGGAGCTGTACAGGTCTTTGGTTAGGCTACGGTGCTATACTGTGTTTAGTTCTGGTTGCTCCTCTAAAAGAAGAATGTGATTGTACTGCAGAGGGTGCAGAGGAGATTCATCAGAATGTTTCCTGGGACGGAGCATTTCAGCACCAAAGAGAGGCTGGATAAGTTTGGGTTGTTTTCTTTAGAGCAGAGAAGGCTGAGAGGGGTCAGAGATGTATAAGATTGAGGGGCATGGACAGGATTAATAGGGAGCAGCTGTTCACCTTAGGTGAAGGGTGAATAATGAGGGAGCATAATTTTAAGATTAAAAAGTAGGAAGATTAGAGGGGATTTTGGGAAGAACTTCTTTCGTTCAGAGAGTGGTGGGGTTCTGGAATGCATTGCCTGGGACGGTAGTTGAGGCCAGAAATCTCTCAATCTTTAAAAAGTACTCACGTGAGCACTTGAAGTGTCACAACATTGAAGGCTATGGGCCAAGTGCTGACAAGTAGGACTGGTATAGATATGGAGTAGTTTTTACTGGTGCAGATTCATTGAGCCAAAAGGCCTCTTCTGTACTGTGTGTGATTGTGAGATTCTTTGAAAATAAAACATGTTGTAAATCTTTATCTTCAAATTATAGAACTGAAAACACCATAATTCTGACATGAAACACTCTCCTCGAATTGTTCACTGTGATGCTCTCTTACAGGCTGTACAAGAGGCTATAATTCAGACACTCGATTATCTTTTTGAAACATCGCCTCGGACAAGAGTCGCTTTGGTTACCTTCAACAATGAGGTAGAGGAGGGGAAACTGAATGCTGTTCACTGTTGATTTGGAAGATGCAGAGGCGATTGTCCACCTGGGAGCTAGAGACTTGATCTGTTGTAGTGTCCAATCATAACATGGTCAAGATGAGGTTTTTACTCATTTCTGGGGTATGTGTGTTGCTTGCAAGGCAAGTGTTAATTGGTCACCCCTAGTTGTCCTTGAACAGAGTAGTTTGCCAGGCCGTTGCAGAGGTCTGGTTAAGAGTGGGTCTGGAGTCACATGTAGGCCAGATAGTTTCGATGACAGCTTTCCTTCCCTGAAGGATGTCTGTGGCCCAGAGGGGGTTTTTACAACAATTATTGCTTGCTCTTATGGTCACCTTTACCTTCTGGATTTATGAATTGAACTTAAATTTTGTCTGCTGCCATGGTGGGATTTGAACCCATGTCCACCTGTCCAGCCTGAGTCTCTGGATTACTTGTCCACTGGCATTACCATTCTGCTGCTATCTCCCTGTCCCAATTTTCATGAAAGTCCCTGCATTCCCACACTTCAATAGAGAGTGTTCAGCGTCATGCCATAGTGTATCAGGGTCAGAGAACAACTGTCTGTTTACAAAAAGATCTGTCAACTAATTAAGTATGAAGATTGGAATTAGGATCCCTTCAAATCTATTCCTCCATTCAGTTTGATTATGACTGATGTACTGCAGCTGCATTTATCTGCCTTTTTTATATAACATTTGATAACTTACAGAAAATAATCTGTTGAGCCTTGTCTTGTCATCTACACAGTTTTGGGCTAACATTTGGCAGATAGATGATAATGTGGGAAATTTTAAGGTTATCTATTTTGGTAAGTAAAAAAGGAAAGCAGAATATAGTTTAAATACAGAGCTCAGAATTTTGCAGTATAGCTGTGTCAGTGTATCCTCATACAGGAAGTACAATACTGGTACAGGAAAAAAATTGAGAAGACAAATGAGATTTTTGTTATTGCAAGGCAGGATGATGTAGAAAAATAAGAAGGTCTAGCTACAGCTGTAAAGCCTGTCTGTCAGAATGTCCTTCTATTCCTTTCCGGCATGTATGTTTATCTAATTTCTCCTTAAGTCTATGTCAATAAATGTGGAGCTGGACAAACACAGTAGGTCATACAGCATCAGAGGACCAGGAAAGTCAAAGTTTCGGCCAAAACCCTTTGTCAGGGCTGGGGAGGGGGAGGGGAGCCCAGAAATAAATAGAGGGAGGGGGCTGCGGCTGGTGCAAAGTAGGTGGGATGGTGATAGGTGGATGCAGGTAAGGGGTTATAGTGATTGGTCAGTGGGAACGATGGAGCAGGTACGTGAATAGGAAGATGGACAGGTTAGGACAGGTCAGGGAGCCTCCTCCCCAGCCCTGATGAAGGGTTTTGGCCTGAAACATTGAATTTCCTGCTCCTCTGATGCTGTCTGACCTGCACCACATTTATCCCACATCCCAGGGGCAGCACAGTGGCTCAGTGGTTAGCACTGCCAGCAACCTGGGTTCGATTCTACCCTCGGGCAACTGTCTGTGTGGAGTTTGCACATTCTCCCCGTGTCTGCGTGGGTTTCCTCTGGGTGCTCTGGTTTCCTCCCACAGTCCAGAGATGTGCAGCCTAGGCGGATTGGCCATGCTAAATTGCCCACAGTGTTCAGGGATGTGTAGATTAGGTCGGCTACAGGGGAATGGGTCTGGGTGGGATGGTCTGAGGTTTGGTGTGTGCTTGTTGGGCCGAAGGGCCTGTTTCCACAATGTAGGGATTCTATGATTCTATGATTTATTGACTCTGGCTTCCAGCATCTGCAGTCGTTACTGTCTCCTTAAGTCCATATTATTCATCTTGAATGTTCCTTGTGATACCAAATGCTGGGCTGTCATTACTCTGTATAAAAACATTTCTTTATTGTATTTGTTGATATAAGATTATAAAATTGCACTGTACAAAAGGAGAGCATTTTTCAGATTGAATTTGTGCAGTTACTTCAGAAAAATGCAGGTTTTCCCACTTACATGCTCTTTCTCTAGATTTCTACAATTTTTACTCTCAAATATTAATCCAGTTCCCTTTTGAAAACTAGTATGAAATGTATTTTTTTATCACTTTCTCAGGCAGTACATTGCAGAAATTAACCATTCATCATTGTCATGACTTGCTTGGGAACGTGTTGCTGAGACTCGAGCCCCACTGCTTCCAGGGACGACATCAAAATTAAAGTTTTAATTACACACCGTTCGCAATTTTTTTTGTCCGATGAATTTGGGTTAATAGGAACGGATGAATAGGTTTCTGTATTAATTACTGTTTACTGGAATGAAATCAGTTTTAACCCCAGGCAAACAAAGCTATGGATTATCATACCATTGTACTAACTGAAACTCTAACCCATTTCTTAACACACAGACCTACAGACCTAGGCAAAATCAGCGTATATGTTGCGGATGAAGGGGAAACACTGTTCAATAACACCAGTCCACAGGATTCAATGAGAAGATGTTCCTTTTGCTTCTTCCAAAACCTCTTGTTCTCCAATCTCCTCATTTCCAGGTTGTTTTGGTTCTTTGCTGAAGATACAGGCAGTTGGCCCTCTTATCGTCGTTCACTGTCATGGTTAGAGGCAGAAGTCACACGACACTAGGTCATAGTCCAACAGGTTTATTTGAAATAACAAACGTTTGGAGCGCAGTCCCTTTGGTCAGCTGAAGTGAGAGAGAAGAGCACACAGACACATAATTTATAACCAGACAGATCAACAGCAGAGGGATGAAAAGATCATACAACTGGTGTAAGTGGAGTGTCGAAGACTAAGTCTCTGAAGGTGGCCAAGAGTATTAGACAGTGTGAGTAAAGTATCAATAGCTGAATAACAAGCAAAGGGATGACCTATAATCCAATTAAATGAGGTAGAGAGAAAATTACAAAAAAAATACTAAGGTGGTTCTGGAGACAAACTAAATGACTGGAATAACAAAAACTGAAAGAACTGTGGATGCTGTAAATCAAACAAAAACAGAAGTTGCTGGAAAAGCTCAGCAGGTCTGGCAGCATCTGTGAAGAAAAAATCAGTTAAAGTTTCGGGTCCAGTGACCGTTCCTCAGAACTGAGTGGAATAACATGTTAGGTATAAGAGTTGCACGTTAAGTGTCTAACCAAAGTAATAAGTAATTCAAAACTGTACAAACTGATTAAGGTATAGAGATCACAACAATTTATCAAGGTGATGGTGTCAAAACAGCACAGTAAGGACGGTTTTACAGATACAGAAGTGTGGTGGGTCACATGACCCCAAGATCACTGTTGAGGCCACCTCAATGGGTAAGGAATTTGGCTGTCAGTTTCTGCTCAGTGACTCTGCGTTGCTGTGTATCTCAGAGGCCGCCTTGGAGGATGCCTACCCCAAGATCGGAGACAGAATATCCTTGCTGCTGAAGTGTTTCCTGACTGGGAGGAAGCATTCCTGTCTGGAAATTGTTGTGGGTGTCCATTTATTCATTGTCATAGTGTCTGCATGATCTCGTCAGTATACAATGCCTTGGTGTACTATCACCTTGATGAATTATGATCTCTCTACCTTAAGTAGTTTGTATGGTTTTGAATTACTTATTACTTTGGTTAGACCCTCAACATATGACTCTTATATCTATCATGTTATTCCAGTCATTTAGTTTGTCTCCAGCCCCAACTTATTTTAAATTTCTTGTAATTTTCTCTCTGCCTCATTTAATTAGATTATAGGTCATCCCATCGCTTGTTATTCAGCTGTTGACACTTCACTCTCATTGTCTAAAATGTGGCCACCTTCAGAGACTTAGTAATCGACACTCCACTCACGCCAGTTGTATGATCTTTTGATAGAACATAGAACAGTACAGCACAATACAGGCCCTTCGGCCCATGATGTTGTGCCAAACTATTATCCTACTCTAAGATCAAACTACCCTGCATACCTTACATTTTACTATCATCCATGTGCCTATCCAAGAGTTGCTTAAATGTCCTTAATGTATCTGATGATCTCTCTGCCGATAAATTCTGTGTCTTGTGCTCTTCTGTCTCACTACACCTGATGAATGGGCCGCGCTCCGAAAGCTTATGATTTCAAACAAAACTTTTGGACTATAACCTGGTATTGTGTGACTTCTGACATTGTCCAACACATCCTGGTTAGAGACAACTGCTTGCAGCAACCTGTGGGAGAGAATAGCTAACTATCTTCCAGGTTTTTTTTATAGCTGACTCTGGACTCTAACCTGAATGCCCTCCCCTAATTACTGGTCTGCAGGGTTTCTGCTAGCTTAATTTTAATGTGAGTTAAGAACTAATATTGGGAGCACATAAGGCAAAAGCATTACGATAAAGGGGTTGTATCAAATTCCTAGACCATTGGTTTTTAGGGTTATATACTAGATGCAGGTTACAAAATCCTTATTTGAAATCATCCAATGGTTTTTGATTCATCAATAAGGATCTCAGCCTTGGCTTACTATAGTTAATTAATTTTTCATCCTATTGAAATGGGCCGTTCTTCATTTTAATTTCAGCAAAACTACAATGTAAACCTGTGTTGGAACTCTGCTCAATGTGATTGCCTTAACAGGTAACAATCTATGGAGACGGACTGGCTCCCCCACGGACTCTGCGTGACTTTGAGTTAATAGATCAAAATTACCTGAAAAAGCAGGGTGTCGAGGCAGCACAGCCACATTGTATTTTGGAGAGCAGAGATGCGCTATATCGCCACATACATCAGTGAGTAGCTCCATCTCAAGGATTATATCTGTGTTCTGGTGGAATTGAAAAAATGTTGAACGTTGGAAATATTCTTAACATAAAATGCCTGAAATTTATTTCATCTCAAAATCTCAGGGACAAATTAGTGTTTCAGGTGGAGCGCAAATCTGACAAATGGCTAAAGCCGAAATGATCTTCCTCTTTCTTTGGTTCTTTCTTTTTCATTCCCTTTGAAATAAGGGAAGAAGGTTTCATGATTGTCCCAATTTAAGTCTTAAGCCCTAAACATGGATTTTCTGGTGCTGCAATTTGGCAAGCTGCAGAGAGCCTCGGGCTTTCTGTCAAGATGGCGGCACCGGAGTAGGCAGCATCTGGGCTCCTTTGCCCGGCTTGTCCTCTTCAACTGCATTTTTTCTTTTTCCTTCTTCCTCTTTCTTTTTTCCCCTCAAATCTATCTTTTGAAGAGAACTCTTCAGTGGGAAAGTAGCTTCGATGGGCTCTGGAGCAGTAGCTGTGTCTTCAGAGGTGACGTGGCTACCGAGTCGGCCAGTTGGCCTGTGAAGCCTGAAGTGGGATTCTCACTTGTGTGTGGAGTGGGCCCCTGGTGGCGGCATGGCATGGGCTGGGAAGCCCAGAGTAGGACTGTAGCAGCGGAGAAGGAAAAGTTGGATTCCCTTTAAGTTTGTGTTCTTTTATTATTTTATTCTAAGTTAATGTGAATGGCCCCTATGTACAGTGACAGTAAACACTTGTCACTGTATTTTATATTCAATGCTTGTGACAATAAATGATTCAATAATAAAGGCTGACATTCCATTTGTATTCCCAATTACCCACTGAACTTTGAAGCTAGCTTTTTGTGATTCATGGATGAGGATGCCCAAATCCCTCTAATTTGTTAAATAAAAACCGAAAGAACTGCGGATGCTGTAAATCAGGAACAAAAACAAAAACAAAGTTGCTGGAGAAGCTCAGCAGGTCTGGTAGCATCTGTGAAGGAAAAAACAGAGTTAATGTTTTGGGTACGGTGACCTTTCCTCAGAACTCCCTTCCCCAGGTCTCAGGAAGTGTCACTGGACCCGAAATGTTAACTCTGTTTTTTCCTTCACAGATGCTGCCAGACCTGCTGAGCTTCTCCAGCAACTTTGTTTTTGTTCCCACTAATTTGTTGATTTTTCTGCAGTCTTTCTCCATTTAAATAATATTCAGCTCATTTATTATTATTCCTGCCAAAGTGCATAACCTCACACTTTCCCACATTATATTCCATCTGCTATATTGTTGCCCAATCAGTTGACCTGTTTTTATCCCTGTGTAGACTCTGTGACATCTTCACCACTTGCTTTCCCACCCATTTTTGTGTCATCTGCAAACTTGGCGATAGTATATTCACTTTCCTCATCTGAGACATTAATATACATGGCAAATAATTGTGGCCCCATCACTGATCCCTGAGACTCTGTACTTGTTACAGATTGCTATCTTAGAAATACCCCCCTCCCTTATCCCAAATCTGTCTTTAATTATTTAGCCACTCCTCTATCTGTTCTAATATACTACCTGCATCTTATTAAATCGCCTAATGTCTGGCACCTTATCAAATGCTTTCTGAAAATCCAAAAGTATTACGCCACTGCTTCTGTTTTATCTATTCTGCATGTTGCCTCCTCAAAGAATTCTAATAAATTTGTCTGGCATGATTTCCCCTTCATGAAGCCATGCTGACTCTGCTTGATCATATTATGTAATTCTAAATCATTTGCTATTACATTTTTTTATAATCAACTCTAATGTTTTCCCAATAACGCACAGTAAGCTAACTGAGCTACAATTACCTGGTTTTATCTCCTTCTCAGGTGTTACCTCCTACATCATGAGCTTCATTTTCCACAATAACCTTGTGGTCGCTTATCAAATGGCTTTTGAGAATCTAGGTGCAGTACATCCACCAGTTCTGTTCTGAAGAAGGGTCATTGGATCCAAAACATTATTTCTGTTTTCTTTCCAAAGATCCTGCCAGACCTGTTGAGTTTTTCTAGCAATTTCTGTTTGTGTTTCTGATTTCCAACATCAACAGTTCTTTTGATTTTTTTAATTGCTTAATACATCCACCGGTTCCCCTCTATCACAGCACGTTACATCCTTGAAGAGCTCTTTAATAGTTTGGTCAAACATAACTTTACAGTGACAAAACCATGTAGACTCATTTACGCACACACGCGCACACACACACCCTCCCCCCAACTACTCCGCTTCACATGCACTCTGCTTCTGTGCTGCTTCCTTACTTTGTTGACCCAACAAAATTCCCTGTGAGACCTGCAAGCATTGGCGGCCCTAACTGAGACATTTGAGGGAGCCCCCCAGCTGCATTTCTTGATGTCCAGAAGCTAATTATTTCTCCTCAGGGCTTCCATCTTTATAGAGGACATATGTTTATTCCCAAGAGCTGCCAACGGGTCAGCAACTCATCAGTCTCAGCAGTGCCTTCAGGGCTCACTGTGGCGACTGGACCTAACATCCTCCCAGTGAGGTGAGTGGCATACTGGTGCCAGCCAATCTAGTTTGTGGGAGCAGGAAGAGGGCAGTTGCTGCAGGAGTAACCATTACTGTGGCCTGCAGGGAAGCCGCCAGGATTAAGAACAAAGCACTCGGGAACTAGAGTATTTTATGCAGCCTATCGAATCTGCTCTGCCTTTCTGTTAGATTGTGCCTAGTCACCATATCCCTTGAAGTCAGCAGTCTGTAGAAATCTATTATTTTCTGTCAAAAATCTGTTGAGTGGTTGAGCTTTACTGTCCCCTGGGGTAGAAAATTTCAAAAGTTCACCACCTTCTGAGTGAAGAAATTCCTCTTCAACTACCTTAAATGGCCTACTACTGGATTCTGAGATTAAATGGTCTACCACTGATTCTGGGATGATATCCTCCTGGTTCTGGATTCAGGGAATTCAGGTTCTAGATTCCGCCCAGAAAGACATCCCACTTCAACCATACCGTCAACACGCTTCGTAAGAATTTGGTAAGTTTTATTGAGATTACCTCCTATTTTGATCTGTGCTTATAAAGTTCCAGTTTCCTAATTTTCTCTGGATAAAACAATCCTGCCATTGCAGGAATTACTCTAGCGAACCTCCATTGCACACTCTGCATGGTAAGTATATCCCTCTTTAAATAAGGGGACCAAAATTGTTCACAGTATTCCAGGTGAGGGCTCACCAAATCACTGTACCACTTCAGGAAGACACCATTATTCTTCAAATTCCCCTGTGATGAAGGCCAACATGCCACTTATCTTCCTAATTGTTTGCTGCAGCTGAATGCTAACTGTTAGTGGCTTGTGAAACAGGGCCCCCTTGACTGTTTGGGCACTTGCACTTCTCGACCTCTCACCATTTCAGAAATATTCTACCTTCCTGATTTTTTCCCCTATCAAAAGTAAATAACTTCACACATATGTATATTATATTCCATCTGTTACGTTCCAATCCATTCACTTGGCATATTCAGGTTCCACTTAGTCTCCCCCCACAGTGAGGGCTTACGCACAAGTTGGTAAAATGCCAGCCAACTTAATTGACAATATTGGTCTCTGGGCAGGCGGAACCACTGTCCACCTTCCATGGTGGTAGGTGACAGCAGGCATTTCACACTATGTCTTCCCCAGTCATTTTACAAGGCTCTCCACCTCCCAGTCGATGCCTAAGAGGGCTGAGAACACTAGCCCTCAGTAACTGCAGGATTGTATTTTGGCGAGAGTATGAGTTTTGTAGAGTGGCAAAGATTCTGCACCTCAGCCAAATGGTACCAGGTCCCTGAATCTGAAGAACCCTCTTCCATTTCCAACAGGTTGGATTTTCACCAGGAACAGGAGGAGATGAAAGGAATGGATTACATATGGTGAAATTCCAAACTAGGAGGGCTATTTGGAGAAACTCTAAACCACTCTATGCTGATTTCAAACCCACCCGTTTTCACTTGAGGGAGGTACTTGTGCTGCAGTATGGGAGTTGCAGCTTCCAAGCAAAAAAATAAGAAATTATGTGAAAAGAGGATGAGGCTGTGGAATAGCACCTTGATCAGAGGTGGTGCTTGTGGAACTTGATCCCATTCAGCATTATTGCTTGCAGAGTGTAACAAGGGTGATTGGAGAAATCCATTTCTGTAGCTGGGTGCGCAGTGCAGTGGGTCACTATCTCTGTGGGCCATCTGTTAATCACTGGTATTAGTGGAGAATGCAGTGTGAGCAATGCAGGTCGTGGGCCGTAGTAGGGCCTGTACTTAGGGAATTGATACAAGTGAGGTGTTACTACTTGAACAGCTTTCTCCTCAACAATGCTTTATTTTAATCCAACATAAAAATGCATTAGAGATAGTAGAAACTGCAGATGCTGGAGAATCTGAGGTAACAAGGTGTAGAGCTGGATGAACACAGCAGGCCAAGCAGCAGCAGAGGAGCAGGAAAGCTGACGTTTCGGGTCTAGACTCGTCTTCAGAGTTCTTGTTATCTCATAAAAATGCATTAGTTTTAATTGTGGTAAAAGTATAATTTGTATCGTTCATGCCTCTCATGTATCTTCAGGTTGCAAGAGTGTGGTGCTACAGCACTGGGTCCAGCAGCACTGGTATCCATAGCAATGGCTTCCCAGAAACAAGGCTCCAAGGTCAGTTGGAATTTGCTGATGAGATTTTTGTATGTAAAGTGTGTGTGGCAGATTACCTTTTTAAAAACTAAAAACCAGAACCTCAATTTAGGGTTAGTTACTGGACAGGAGCCAGAGTAGGAACAAATGGGTCATTTTCAGGTTGACAGGACAGGACTAAGAGTCGAATATTTAGGTTAACTGATAGAAAGTTAGATGGAAAGCTAAAGATTCAAAGAAGTTGCAAAGGCCTCTCGAAAAAGTGTAGGCTTTGAGCAAGAATTTGGCAGGGGGAATACATTGTGACGGAGTGTAAAGACACTCACCTTGGAGGAAAACCGGAAAAGCAAAATCTATTTTAGTATGAGTCTCAGAAATTTAACATGCAGGTATACAAGGAATTAGGAATACGATTCAGAGCAGGCTAGTGCTCTTTGGAAGTGGGAAGATCTGCAGATGCTGGAGTCCGAGACTACACAGTACGGAGCTGGAGGAACACAGCAGGTCAGAGGAGCAGGAAAGTTGATGTTTCGGGTCAGGACCCTGCTGAAGAAAAGTCAACTTTCCTGCTCTTCTCATGTTGCCTGGCCTGCTGTGTTCCTGCAGCTCCACACTGTTTTTGTCTCTAATGTTGTATGGATATGGATTCAATAGAATTTTAATTTTATTTCTAAATCTGGAATTTAAAGCTAAGATCAGTAAATGGTGATTAATGTTATCAATAGTCAGAAATGCCAAATTGTTACAGGTATTCTTGGTGGGGTGGTCCTCATGTGACTCCAGACTGGAACAATGTGGTTGTCTCTTGCATCCCTCTGAAATGGCCTGGCCAGCTATTCAGTTGTATTAAGCCATTATAGAAAAGGAATGAAACTCGACAGACTGCTGGGCGTTGACTTGGGAAATCAGCACCCAGCCCTGCCAGTCCTTCAGTCTTTCTTACTAACAATCAAGGAGTTGGGCCTAGCTGCCCTCCTAACCAATCTGTTCTGGTACAGCTACAACACTGGTGTCTGCCTGGCCATGTGGAAAATTGTCTCAATATTTTCTGTGCAGTATAAGTGGGACATATCCAACCTGACATTTTCAGTGCCATTAGTCTACTCTTGATGCAGCAAATTGGGGGAAGTATGTTGTCAAAAAGCAACATTTACTCAGAAATAATCTGCTCATTGATACTTGCTTTGGGTTCCACCAGGTCTGCTTGGCTGTTGAACACATTTCAGCCTTAGTCCAAACATGGCCAAAATGAAGTGAACTCAAGAAGAGAGTTGAGCATGACTACCATTGATATTGAGACAGCATTTGACTGAGCATGACATCAAGGAGTGCTTGTGAAATTAGAGATAATGGGACACAAGTAGAAATTGGTGGCAAAACTCAGCAGGTCTGGTAGCATTGGTGGGGAGAAAGCAGAATTGATGTTTGTTACCGGACCTGAAAAATTAACTCTACTTTCTTCCCACGGATGCTGCCAGACCTGCTGAACTTTGCCAGCAATTTCTGTTTCTGTTTCAGATCTCCAATATCTGCACTTCTTTGTTTTGTTTTAGAGTCAGTGGGAATTGGGGTCAAACTCTATACTGGTTGAAGTCCTACCTGGCACTAAGGAAGGTGATTGAAATTGATGGAGGTCAGTCATGTTAGATCCAGGATATCTCTGCGGGAGTTCTTCAGGGTAGTGTCCAAGGCTCAAAAACCTTCAGCTGTATCATCAGTGACCTTCCCTCCGTCATAAGGTCAGAAGTGGAGATTTTCCCTATAATTGCATAATGTTTGGTACAATTCACAACTCCTCAGATACATTTGGACATGGACTATTTCAGTATCAAGACCTGGACAATATCAAGGCTTGGGCTGACAAGTGGCAAATGACATTGGCGGCTTACAAGGATCAGGTAGTGACCATCTCTAGTAACAGACTATCACTATCTCCCTTTGACATTCAATGGCATTACCTTCGCTAAATCTCTCACAGGTGTTGCCTGTTGACTAGAGGCTGAACTGACTATTATAAATACTAAAAATCATATGAATATTACAGTGAATATCTAAGCAGGTTAGTGGCTGGGAATTCTGCAGTGAATATTGTACCTCCTGACTCTCCAAAGCTTGTACACCACCAACAAGGCACAAGTCAGGAGTGTGATGAAATCCTCTCCATTTGCCTGGATGGGTGCAACTCCAACAACGCACAAGAAAACTATTCAGCACAAAACAGTCAGCTTGATTGGCACTCCTTTTACCATCTTCATTCAACACCGATGTTCAGTAGCAAAACTGTCTATTGTTTACAAGGTGCACTGCAAAAGCTCACCAAGGCTCCTTCAACAGATATTTATTTTTTTCAAACTTGCAACCTCTATCACTTAGAATGACAAGCCAACATGTGCTTGCTAGCACCATTGCCAGCAATTTCCCACCTATATCATGTTTCCTTCATTGTTGCAGGCTCAGAATCCTAAAATGCCATTCTTGACAGCACTGTGGCTGTGTTTATTTCATGTGGACTGCAACAGTTCAAGGGGACAGCTGACCATCACCATCTTATGGGCAATAAATGCTGTCCTCACCAGTGACACTCACTTCTTTGAAACAATAAAATCCATCAGACTCAGGATAAGGGATCAGCCATTTAGAACTGAGATGAGGTGAGATTTCCTCACTTAAAGAATCTTTAGAATTCTGTATCCCAGATGGCCACAGATGTACAGTCATCACACATGTTCAAGACAGAGATCAATAGATTTTTGGGTAAAGCTACAACCAGTCCTTGAGCAAGGTTCCACCATTACAGTTTCAGATAGGATACCTCAAATTGTCAAGCTCCTCAGTGAGGGGGGATGAACAGGCACTTCATTATTTAACCCTTTCCTCAGTTGACAACAAGGTTAATCCCTTGTGCAAAGCCAGAAATTTCTAGAGAAACACCGCAGGTCTGGCAGCATCTGTGGAGAAAAAGCAGACTCAGAATTTTGGATCCAGTAACCCTTCTTCATAACTTGTGATACTGGTGACTCTGCTTTTTCTCCACAGATCCTGCAAGACCTACTGAGTTTATCCAGTAATCTATTCTTTTTTAGATTTCCAGTATCTACAGATCGTGGTTTATTATCCCTTTTCTTGTAGATGGCTTTCTCCTAAACTAAATTAATTTGTTTTGAAAGGAGCCAATTTCATAAGACCATAAGGTACAGGAGCAGAATTAGAGCATTCGCCCCATCAGGTCTGCTCCATTATTCAATCATGGCAGATATGTTTCTCAACTCCACTCTCCAGACTTCTCCGTGACCCTTGATCCCCTTACTAATCAAGAATTTATCTATCTCTGTATTAAAAACACTCAATGACTTGCACTCCACAGCCCTTTGTGTCAATGAGATAATCCACAGATTAAGCACTCTCTGGCTGAAGAAATTCCTCTTTATCTTAGTTCTAAAGGGTTGTTCCTTCACTTTGAAGCTGTGCCCTTGGATCCTAGTCTCTCTTACTTGTGGAAACATCTTCTCCACATCCATTCCATCCAGGCTTCTCAGTCAGCCCCTCATTGTTATAAATTCCGTCAAGTACAGAACCAGAGTCCTCAACCACTGCTGACATGACAAGCTCTTCACCAATGGGATCATTCTTGTGTAAACCTTTCTGGACACCCTCCAAAGCCAACACATCCATCCTTAGATATGAGGCCCAAAACTGCTCGCAATATTTCAAATGCGGTCTGATCAGAGCCTTATATAGCCTCAGCAGTTCATGTCTGCTCTTGTATGCTAGCCCTTTCGAAATGAACGGTAACATTGCACTTGCCTTCCTAACTGTCAACTAAACTTGCATGTTACCCTGGAGAGAATCCTGAATTCAGACTCCTAAGTTTGTTTGTGTTTCAGATTTCTGACATTTTTTACCATTTAGAAAATATTCAAACACCTCTGTTCCTGCCACAGTACATTACTTCACATTTCCCCACCTATTCCATCTGCCACTTCTTTGCCCACACTTAGCCTGTCTAAGATCTTCTGCAGCCACCCTGCTTTCTTAACACTACTGTGCCTCCACTTATCTTTGTGCCATCTGCAAAATTATCAACAATACCCTATGATCCTTCATCCAGGTCGTTAATGTATAACGCGAATAATTGCCCCAACACAGTCCCCTGTGGAACTCCACTCGTCACTGTCTGCCATCCTGAAAAAGACACCTTGATCTACATTCTGTGCCTTCTGCCTGTCAGCCAATCCTCTATCCATTGCCAGTACCTTGTCCTTAACACCATGGACTCTTGTCTTATTTAGCAGCCTCCTATGTGGCACCTTGTCAAAGGCCTTCTGAAAACCAAAATAGATCACTTCCACTGGTTCTCCATTGTCTAACTTGCTCATTACTTCCTTTAAATAATTCTGACAGATTATTCAGGCATGACCTCTGCTTGATGAAGCAGTGCCTATTCAGTCCTATATAACTATGCACTCTAATACTCTGCAATCTCATCCTTAGGAATGGACGCTCAATCTTACCAATGACTGAGAGCTGACTGACTGCCCTAGGATTTCTCATTTTCTGTCTCCCTTTCTTCTTAAACAGGGATGTTACATTAGCCATTTTCCAGAACTCTGGGACCCTCCCTGACTCTAGTGATTCCTGAAAGATCACCACCAATGCCATTCACAATCTCCTTAGCAATCTCCTTCAGTTGTAGTCGTCTCGTCTGGGTGATTTATACACTTCAGACTTTTCAGCTTCCCCAGCAGCTCCTTATTGATGTCACTACACTCCCCTCTGTCCCTTGACTCTCTTGAAGTTTTGCTATGTTACAGTTATATTCCATTGTGAAGACTGATGCAAGTATTGAGTTCCTGTGCCATTTCTTTGTTTCCCATTACTATGTCTCCAACCTCATTTTCCCACGGTCCAATGTCCGTTCTTGCCTCTATCTTACTTTTTATATATCTACAAAACTCTTACAATCTTCTTTTATATTACTAACTAGCTTACCCTCATTTCTTCATCTCCCCTGCCCCTAAACTTTTTAGTTGCTTTTTTAATCATCCTCTGGTTTTTAAAGGTTCCCGATCTTCTGACTTCACACATATCTTCACCACATTATATGCTTATTCTTTTGCTTTTAAGCTGTCCCTGACTTGCCTTGGCTGGCATGGTTGCCTTATCCTCCCCTTAGTATGTTTCTGCTTCCTTGGATTGAATTTCTGCTGCGCTTCCCAAATTATCCCTAGAAACTCCTGCCGTTGCTGCTCCACTGTCTTCTGTGCTCTGTGCCCTTTCAATCCACTCTTGCCAGCTCTTCGCTCATATCTTTGTAATTACCTTTATCAATGGTAATACTGTTGCATCTGATTCACTCTTGTTCCTCTCAAACTGAAGGCTAAATTCCACCACATGGTACAGTTGCAACATTTCAAAGACATTTGGACAGGTATATAAATAGGAAAGGTTTAGAGGGATATAGGCCAAACATGGTCAAGTGGGACTAGTTTAGTTTGGGAAACTTGGTTGGCATGGAGTTGGACTGAAGGGTCTGTTTCCACGCTGTATGACTCTATATTATGGTGACTGCCCCATGGGTTCCTTCACTCTAAGCCCCCTAAGCCTCATTACAAATTACCAAACCAGAATTGCCTCTTCCCTTGTGGGCTGTACCACAAACTGCCCCAAAGAACCATCCCATGGACAATCCATGAATTCTACCCTGATTTTCCGAGTCCACCTGCATGTTCAAGTACCCCGTGATTATTGTAACAGTGTCTTTCATATATGCCTTTTCTGTCGCCTGGTTTATTTTCTGCTCCACATCCTGACTGCTGCTAGGAGGCCTGTCCATAAATGTCATCAGAATCTTTCCTCCTTTGCGGTCCTTCAATTCTACCCACACAAATTCCATGCCGTCCAACCCTATGTTACTTTTGCTATTGATTTACTTTCATTTCTTATTAACAAGGCAACTCCGTCCCCTCAAAAAAATTGCTAAAAAAGAGAAAGATGGGTGGTGAGGAAAATATTATTATATGGGTTATCTAAGAGAGTGTTGGAAGCAATGAATTAATTAGAAAAGATAATTAGATGAACATTTGAAGGGTTGTTGGATTGGCTGGATAGTGAAACAAATATTGGCCTGAATGACTGCTTGTATCATATGTCAATCAGTTATTCTGGTACAGCGGAAGAACAATTGAGAAATTGTAACCAAAACTAAATGAAAAATTTGAAGGGATTACTGAGGGATGTTTCTAACTGTATAAAAAGTAGGTAAATGATAATGAGGGTAAAACTGAAAGATGTAATGAAATTGAGGATGGTTGCTAAGTCTTTGCCTCAAAAGCAAGTAAACCATCATCGTAAATACGTCTGAGCGATCTCACTCCTACTAATCTGTACATCATAAATCCTTCCACACAGAATAGCATTGGTAGCAGTGATGTTTGATGAATCTTCTCGTCAAATGAAAGCTGGATAGGGTTTTGTAAGAAGAGCCTAACCTCTCATTCTAACATTGGGCAGTTACTTGACGCTTCACTTGTACGGGGCAGGCAGGACATGGTGTCTCCCAGCTCCGTACAGTTGAGGTTCTCGATTGACGTTGCAAGCTATGGAAGGGTCCGCATTGGTTGGTTCTAAATGACACAGGTGGATATCAATCAATACCTGGATGATACAGATCAAGAGCAATAAATTCTGGAGAACACCATTCTGCTGCAGCCAGCAGTAACATTGTTTTACGTAATGATTTAAGTTTTTGAAACATCTGAACTTGATATTTTTTAACCAAGTAAATAATTGCTGATTGCAGGGAGAATTGTAGAAGAACCTTCTGTTCTTGTGTGTACCAGTGTCGCTTTCACCAGAACAACATTGTTGCATGAGTTTCAATATCTGTGTCTTTCTTGTGGAGATGGATGAGAAAAGTCATGTGAGAATTTCTGTTGATGTGAAAGTGATGTATATTTTCCCTGATATTGATTTTATGTAATATTAACTGCTAACTATTGATATTAATTGCCAACTTCTGGAGTAATTTAAAGAGAATTCAATGATTTTAGATATTTTTACATTTCCAGGTTATAATCAGTACGGATGGTCGAGCTAACACCATCCTAGGAAATCTGGAGGATATCAAAGATGATAAGATTTATCAATCCTCAAAGCTTTTCTACAGTCACCTTGCTGAATATGCAATGATGCAGGGGTAAGTGCCATTCACATAATGGTATGATGGTATATTGTAACAATGGAATTTGCGGCAGAGTATGGGATCACTAGCTACACTGTGCTAGTCTGTGTTGAACTCTTCAACTCTGTAGGGTCGTCCTCAGGTTGGTAGACATTGATACTGGCTTACAAGGTTCAGTGCTTGGGATCCAGCTGTTCATGATCCATATTAATGATTTAGATACAAGGATCAAATGTAATATTTTCAAGTTTGCTAGTGACACAACCCTAGGTGGGAATGCAAGCTCTGAAAGTGATACAAAGAGGCTTCATAGATATTCGTACAGGCTGAGTGAGTAAGAAAGAACATAGCAGCTGGAATATATTTGTGGACAGTGTAGAGGGCTGTTGTAGGTTGCAACGGGAATATTGACAGGATGCAGAGCTGGGCAAAGAAGCGGAAGATGGAATTCACCCCAGAAGAGTGTGAATTGATTCATCTTGGAAGGTCGAATTTGAATGCGGAATACAGGGTTAATGGCAGGATTCTTGGCAGTGTGGAGGAACAGAGGGATCATGGGGTCCACGTCCATGCCCATAGATCCCTCAAAGTTGCTACCCAAGTTGATAGGGCTGTAAAGAAGGCGTATGGTGTGTTGGCTTTCATTGGCAGGAGAATTGAGTTTAAGAGCCGTGAGGTTATGCTGCAGCTCTATAAAACTCTGGTTAGACTACACTTGGAATATTGTGTTCAGTTCTGGTCGCCTCGTTATAGGAAAGATGTGGAAGCTTTAGAGAGAGTGCAGAGGAGATTTACCAGGATGCTGCCTGGACTGGAGGGCAGGTCTTATGAGGAAAGGTTGAGGGAGCTAGGGCTTTTTTCATTGGAGCGAAGAAGGATGAGAGGTGACTTGATAGAGGTTTACAAGACGGTGAGAGGCATTGATAGAGTGGATAGTCAGAGACTTTTTCCCAGGGCAGAAATGACTATTATGAGGGTGCATAATTTTCAGGTGATTGGAGGAAGGTATAGGGGAGATGTCAGAGGTAGGTTCTTCACACAGAGAGTGGTGGGTGTGAGGAATGCGCTGCCGGCAGTGGTAGTGGAGTCAGACACTTTAGAGACTCTTGGATAAACACATGGATGATAGTAAAATGTAGGGTAGATTGATCTTAGTAGGATAATATGTCGGCACAACATTGTGGGCTGAAGGGCCTGTACTGTTCTATGTTCTATAATTAAATAAATAATGTGGTTAAGTGTAAGGAGAATCCAAGTGCAGAGTATTTCTGAAATGTTGAGTGTGATTTTCCAGCATTCAGTGGGAACATAACTGTCAGGTTATACTCCATTTTAAAACTTTTTAAATGGTTTAGTAACTTTCAGTTCTGCCTAGCAATAGGGGAGGGGCTTTTTTCAAGGCTTTTGATAGGTTACTCAGGTCAATTTAGGGGTCAGTGAAGCGGAATTCAAAGGCAGTCTGTGAAGATGTGAAAGAGTTATCGCAGTAGCTTCCGTGTTAAGAGTGCTGAGTTTATCTGTGCTGCTGGGTGGGTACCCGGGCGACACTGATTCTGTGTTGGATCCTCCGTATGGGTCAAGAGCCGTTGGAATCCTTTACTCTGCTAGAAGTCAGGAGAAGTTCTAGGAATTAATAGATTGATAATTGGATGAGTAAGGACTCAAAAGAAGACTTGGAGAGTTGAGAAAGTGGGAAGGTTTCTGCTCTATGTTGGCAGAAGTCATGAGGGGCTTGGAAGAAGCATATGAACAGAAACACTTCAGTGCAACTAAGAGAGTGTAGGAGGTTTATAAAAAAAACAAGCTGTGTGTTTGTTTGATGCCGCTAAGCAAGATTGGACCAAGGGAGAGTAATCCGGGGCCATGACTGCCTTAGTGAGACTAGCTGTCTGTGAAGAGCGGAGGTTATACCTGAGAGTGAGAGCTGAAATACAGTTTTATAGGTCTGGGTAGTGCAGACCCAAGAAAGGAAGGTGATCAACCAGAACAGGAACAGTTGTTGAGTTAATCCATGATAAAGTGGCTCTTGTGAGGCGTACTAGACCGACCAAAAGTAAAAAAATTCTGATCCATTATAAAGGTTACTGAGATTTGATGTTCCACCATGTCACTAATGTTTGGGGGGATCTTCTGAGAAATCTGTAGGATCCATCTTGATTATGTTTGCTATTTGTTGTGCAACATGAGGTGTTCTATGACCGTCTATTGTCTATATATATATCATGTTAATTTTGGTATAAGAGATCAGTTACGTATGTATAATAGATTACATTATTGTGCTAACATTGTATAGTGAGGTATATTGTTGTTTGTTCCAAACCAAAGGTTAGAAAGCAGAAAGAGGCTATTCAGTTCATCAATTAAGGTATTAAATAATTATTTGGTTAGAAGTAGTAATAGCAACGATATAAGAACATAAGAACCAGGAGCAGGAGTAGGCTATCTGGCTCTTCAAGCCTGCTCTGCCATTCAATAAGATTAAGGCTGATTTTTTTCATGGCCTCAATTCCACTTACCCACCCTGTCACCATAATTCTTAATTCCTTTTCTATTCATAAGAACATAAGACATAGGGAAAAGGTAGGAGGTTGGCGCAAAATAATGATGCTTGTATAAGAGCTGGTGCAGTCACAATGGGCTGAATGGCCTTCTGCACTGGCAGTTCTGTGGTTCTGTATGTTGTAACGTTTTGTATAAACCTTGGAGGTGTTTATAACAACCCATCAGAGTTAGTTTTGCACTCCACAGTCAAAAGTGTGGCTCTTCCTGTGTACACATGAAATACATGATCGTTAACCCTGAATGTTCTTATCAATTTGTCAAGTTCCCCCAATAACAGAGGATAAAGATTTGAAGTGATTTTATAAGATACCAACTTGAACTAAGGAAGTAGAACCATTATCCCTAAGGAGATGAGGAATGAAATGCTAAATAGCATCCCTGGAACCCATTAAGGAATTGCATCAAGTCTGAGAAAAGCAAGTGCTGTACTGGCCACATGTAAGCAATGAGGTTAAGGACCACATCAGCCAGTGCAATTCTTGTGACAAGTTCCAAGCTAAGCAAGCCAAACAATTGGTTATGATGCAAGACATTCACATAGACAATGGATGAAGTTTTGTGTAGACTTCATTGTCACTGTAGACTTTTATTTTGACTGCTGGGAGTTAGACCAACTTGCATCAATTCGTGGATAAATTTGTTTTGATTTGATTTTTGTGTGCAGTACAGGCTGCAAAGAAGGTGCACAAAGAGCATGATCAACATTAAATTTACAATTTGAGAGGTCTATTCCAAAGTTTAATAGCAGCGGGGAGGAAACTGTTCTTGAATCTGTTGGCATTTTTGTTTAAGGTTTTGTATCTTCTGCCCGATGGAAGAGGTTGGAAGAGATTATAACCGGGTGGGAGGGGACTTTGATGATGTTGGCTGCCTTCCTGAGGCAGTGAGAAGTATAGACAGAGTCAATGGATGGAAGGTTGGTTTGCGTGATGGACTGGGCTGTGTTCACAAGTCTCTGTAGTTTCTTACTGTCCTGGGAAGATCAGTTATGATACCAAGCCATGATGCATCCAGATTGAATGCTTTCTATAAATGCATCTATAAAAATAGTTTCCTGAGGAAGTATACCGTTGTTGTGCTTTCTTGACTGTAATGTCAATGTGGGTGATCCAGGACAGATTGTTGGTGATCATCACTCTTAGGAACTTGACAATCTTCCACCTCAGCACCGTTGATATAGACAGGGGCGTATGCTCCACCTTGCTTCCTGAAGTCCATGTCCAACTCTTTCATTTTGCTGACGTTGAGGGAGAGATTGTTATCTTTACTCCGTCCCACCAGTACCCCTTCCCTTTCCTGTATTCTGTCTTGTTGTTGTTTTGAGATCCGGCCTACAATGGTAGTGTCAGCGAACTTGTAGATGGAGTGAGGACAGAATTTGGCCACGCAGTCATGAGTGTATAGGCAGTATAGAAAGTGGTTGAGTACGCAGACTTGTGGGGTGCCAGTGTTGAGGATTATCATGGAGGAGGTGTTGTTGCTTATCCTCACTGCGATCTTTGGGTCAGGAAGCTGAGGATCCAGTTGCAGTGGACAGAGCAGAGACATGGGTCTCAAAGTTTTGAGATTAGTTTGGTTGGAATTATGGTGTTGGAGGTGAAGCTATAGTGCTTCATAAATGATTGGGAAATTCAACATCAATGAGTATATCATCTTCAAACTATTCCCAGTGAAATTGAAAGGCTGAAGCCACAGTGAAAATCACCAAAGAGATCTTTAAACATATCAAACAAAGCCAGCACAGACTTGTACAAAGCAATCTTTTGAGTGGAGTAGTGTTCTTGCTAAAGGTATGGCAAATAGTCCAGTCCAACGACTAAGTCCCATCATAGCCAAACTATTCCTCAGTCATGATTCCCTCTCAAAGTAAAACCAGAAGTGTTATTAGGTGGGAATGACAGAATCCAGGTGAAACAACAATTTCATCTTGATACAAGTGCTGATTCATTGCCAGAACTGAGCATTGAAAAGCCAGACTGCGAGCAAATGTTCAACACTGTCAACAAGACAGGCCATGTGGCAATATTGGGACCTGTGTAGAGCAGGCATCACCACAATCCTATAAAGTGAATGTAAGTAACCAGATTTTTGGCTGCAACTGAGACATCCATATAGCACCAGGGGAGCTGTTGCTTCAATGCAGGCAGTGACATAAATGAATCAGGTAATCAGGAATCCCTAGAGAAACAACAGTGCCTAGTGAAGAAACATCAGGCTAGGTGTGAACTGATACCTGAGGAACAACCAACTATAATCACACTGGAGACCTGACCCATATAAAGATTTTGTAAACAATGCATGTGTGGAGACTGATGGAAGTGGAACTGACTAGAGTTAAGTGTTTTTGTTAGTGGTGATTTTCTTTGTGACCATGTATATTGCATCACTTGCATAACTTAAGTTGTAAATGAGAGTGCATGCAATTCTGCTGCATAAGAAAAGGGGATGTTTGCAGAAATGCAATTAGACTTATTGACTGATTTACTATAATTGTGAGACCTCTACCTCTCCTGTAAGTACTTTTGTGTGTAATTTGTGGTAGTCATTACATATGTGACTTGAAGCAGTAGAGTAATGTGGGAAAATAAAACTGAGGTAGCTGATAAGCCATGATCAAGAATGGCTGATCAGGTTTGAAGGGCTGAATGGTTTACTACTGCTATGTTCCTGTAGTCCTATGTTTGACATAGGGAAAGGGGTGAGGTTTGCTCCTACTATTATAATGCAGCATTGTTTCTGGCCCAGTTTTTAGCAGCAGAATTCAAAATAGAGCACAGTTTGAATTATCTCCTGGGAATGGTGTCAGAGTAGAAAAATAATAAACTAGGTTCTTCTCTTTTGCTACCCCACCCCAAAACAGAAATGTGAAGTAGTCTTAGATAGTTAGGAAACTGATGGAAAAGCTTCTGCAGATTATTCCTAGACATTGCATTATCCCACAGCTGCTGTAATATGATCAAGGTCAGTGTTTGAAACAGCTATTAAGAATCTAGGTTTAGGCAAGACTGACTTTGATGGGAATCTCTAAGGCTCAATTCAGTGGGAATGGAACTGAGCCTGTCCACTGTAAACTGCATCATAAAACAATGCCTCAGTAAGAAGTGTACAGAGAAGGTACAGAATCAGTTTATACACACATAAGGGACAAAAATGGCACTTGTCAAAATGTGGGTAGTAAGCAGAAGTGTAAACCCATTGAATGTTTTGAAGTCCATGTTAATTCTGTTTCTCTCTCCACAGATGCTCCCAGACTTGCTGAGTTTCTCCAGCATTCTCTGTGTTTGAAAAATTGCTATGGTTTTGTTGTTAGTGAAAGTCTAGGAATGAAGAACAAACAGCAGAAGATGAGGTCAGAATGCCAGACCTCTCAAGAAACCTAGTAATGAATTAAGGACATACGCTCAAGAAAATTACTATCATCAAAATACTAGTAATGAAGATAATGAATGATCAGCAATTCATGATCATATCTGAAATGAATGAGAAATTCCCAGGACAAGTTGGATTTCTGTGGACGGTTTTAAAGAATAACATTTCAGATGGTGTTACTAAAATCTTCCAAAGTTTTCTGATTTGGGAACTATTCTGTTACATTGGAAAATTGTACATGTCATGGCATTGTTTAAGAAAGATGACGTGGGAACATGGAAATAAAGAGCGGTAGTCGACTATCTGATCCTTCAGGCCTGCTCCATCATTCAGCATGTTCAAGGCTGGTCCTCTATTTCAGTGCTATTTTAGCAATTTCTCTCCATATCTCTTGGTGCTTTTAATATCTAAAAGTTTACCAATCTCATTTATGAATGTACTCGGTGACTAACCCAGCCTCCACAGCCTACTGTGGTCACGAATTCCACAGGTTAACCACCCTCTGAGTGAAGAAATATTTCGTCATCTCAGTCCTAAAGGTTTACCCCATATCCTGAGACTGTGATCACTGGTTCTTGACTCCCTGACCAGTGAAAACATCCTACTTGCATCTAGTCTGTTTCGATCCCGTTAGAGTTTTATACATTTCAATCAGATATCCTTCTAAACTCTAGTCAACATAGGCCCAATCAAACCAATCTCTCCTCATACAACAGTCTTGCCAGCCTTGGTATCAGCCTAGTGAACCTTTGCTGCACTCCATCTATGGCAAGTAAAACCTTTCTTAAGTAGGGAGGCTAAAACTGCACACATTGCTCCATGTGCGATCTTGCTGAGCTCCTGTATAAGAGAAGCCATTCCATTAGCAGAAAATCAGGAAGTTTGTAGACTAGTCATGCAGTTATTGGAATGCTGACATTTGTATTTAGAGGAATAGTCATGCTTGAGTTCTGTAAAATCCTGATGGGATCATACTTGCAGTACTAAGAGCTGGTCTTGGTGCCCCACCTTAGGAAGGATCTATTGCTTGGAAGGAGTGTAGCATAAATTTAGAAACATAAACATAGAAAATAGAGGCAGGAGTAGCTGTTTGGCCCTTTTGAGCCCGCTGTTCATTCAGATCATGGTTGCTTATCCAACTCATTACCCTGTTCCTGCTTTTCCTCCATATTCTTTGACCCCTTTTTTTTTTAGCCCCAAGTGCTGTATCCAACTCCTTTTTGAGATCATGCAGTGTTTTGGCTTTGACTGCTTTCTGTGACAGAATTCCGTAGGCTCACCACTCGATGAAGAAATCTCACCTCATCTCAGTCCTAAGTGGTTTATTCCTTATTCTTAGACTGTGATCCCTGGTTCTGGAATCCTGTGCCATTTGGAACATGATGCTTGGATTACTGGAATGATCTTTGGGTTTCAAGGGTTAAATTGTGAAGAGAGATATGCTCAACTAGGTCTTAATTCCCTGGAATTCAGAAGATCAGGTGGTCACTTCCAAGATATTAAGATGGATGCACAGAGTGCAATCATTATACTGGTTGGAGAGTCTGTGTGAAGTAGCTTAGATTAAACATTACTGTGAAGCCTTTCAGAGGGAACTTGGGAAATCTTCCCACATGCAATGAATGGTACAAGTTTGAAAATTGTCAAATGGCAGCTGATAATTATTCAGCTGTAAATTTGAAATCTGAGATTGATAGATTTTTGTGATCCAAAGCTTTTGAAGAATATAGGGCCAAGTGAGGTGTACACTAGTTATGTTACCCACCAGTCATCACCTCATTACAGATTTGAGGGGTTAAATGACTTCTTCCTGTTCACTGGTTCCTAGGACCTACGTACAGTCCTCATAATCCTGAGGAGACTTTAACCATAACTCAGTCTAATAATCCCTCATAGGGTGATCGTCTCTGTACTGACTGTTGAAGGCACCGACTGCAGATTACCAGAACTTGGACAGCTGGCAGATAAAACCGGAGGAAAGGTGAGAAAAATGGGCTCTGAGATCCACCAAAGCTTGAAAGTACAAGCTAACACTGGAGGATTGGGTGGATTCTAGGTACTGTGGCCTGGAGTTTAGGATAGGGATAGGGATTGAAACATAGAAATATAAACCCATTCAACCATTACATTCCTCTCAGCAGAAAAGACCCATTCAACCAAATCTCACTTTCAAGATTTTGGTTTGTAACCCTGTAGATTACAGCACTTCATGTACTTAACCAAGTATTTATTTACAGCAATAATGTTTCTCCCGCTACCATACTTTCAGGAAGTAAGTACACCCTTTCCCCAAATTCTTGGTTATTTCAGAAAGGAGAGAGATAAAATCAAAGGAGAGTCAGCACTGTCTGCTGTGTGTCAGCTCATTATACTGTCCGAGCTGCTGCCACCATCCTCCTTCAGTGAACGAAACTTCAGGGTCTACTTGGCTTAGTGTGGGAGGGAAGTCACTTCCTGGACTAACTAGAAGAGTCTCTATAAATTAGTAAGATATAATTTATTGCATGTTATAAGTATTTGAGGATTAGATTGAGGGGACAGACATTGTGACAGAGACTTTGAGGAGTAGCAGATGTTAAATATCACCACTTTATAATCTTCCTTGTTCTGCTCACAAGTCCACATGATCTCGTAATAGATGTTTCTTGGCACATGTCAGCTTTAACCCTTTCAGACCCCTATACAGCATGCTCCTAAGTCTAGTGCTGGTGGGAGACGTTTGAGGTGTTGCAATGGAAAGGAAAAAAAGAAAAGCAATATTTAAAAATTGAGAGGTAGTTTAATTTTTATCTTGCTATTTTCTCATTCACAGGTGAACATCACCAACCCAGCCAATTTATACAATGAATTTCAGCTAATTTTAGAAGATGATGTAATTGCTACAAATGTCACCACGACCTTCATTGTTGATGACAGCCTGTAAGTTTTAGTGATGAATGTGATGCTTTGTCACTGTTTTCTTCATTGTGTATAGGACCATTTCCCTACTAACTTCTTTTGCTTTGACAAAAATGGAGCAGATTTGATAAGGTACTCCAGAGCTCAAATCGTCTGTGTTTGTGGGTTTGCGCATTAATCATGGTCCAGTCTATTCTGGACTACATTTTAGCTTGTTTAGGAGCAGGGGCATTTGGGCACACTGATAAGTGTCCCTGTTTCTGGTTCAGAAGGTCCGGTTTTTGAGTTCCACCTGTCCCTGGTGTGTCATACCGTGTCCAAACAAATTGATTAAAAGTAATTATGCCTGGGAGTAAGGGTACAAATCCATCTAATGACGCTAGCTGTAAAGATCATTGTTGGCTGGAATTGTTGTTTAAACCTTTAGCTGACAATCTGTTATGACAAATTTGTGAAATGCTTTTTGGATGTCCATCTAAATGACATTCATAGATGCTCCTCTTCCTGTACTTTAGTCACCTGGTCAAACAATTCAGCCAGGTTTATGCCTTTATGATCCCATACTGGCTGCCTCTGATCAACTGAAAGTTATTATGGTGTTTAGTCACTTTTTATCCTGAATTATAGAGTAATTTCCTGACAGCAGATGCTAGAAGACTAGTCTTATAATTGTCTGGTTTCCCCCTTCATCTTTTGTTAAATGGAGTGATTTTTGCAATTTAGAGAACTTAACAAATTGTAGTTGAGGCATGTATAATATTATCACCTGCTTCCCCTAATTCTGCCAGTGGAAACTGCCTGGCCTTTAAGGATTTGTTGCTCCTTAATGAGATTATTTTCTTAATTATCGTTACTTTGGTTACATTTGTTAGGTTGAGTCTTTGTACTTGATTCAGTCTTAGTTTCCTTGGGGTTTCCAGAATGCTGACTTTGCCTCTCTTGTAAAGACCTTTACAGTGTTGTTATTTAGAATGCCCTCCATTTTAGTAATTTAATAGAAGTCATCACTGTTGTTAATTTTCCCAGGGCCCACATTGCTCCCTAATATTCTCCTTTTCCTCATTTATTTGCAGTTTTACTGTGTTGATTTTGACTTGCTAGTTTCTTTTCACACTTTTTGTAGTTTCTGCTGTTTCATCCTTTCAGGTTATTTGTCACCTTCTCATTGGTCAGGATCTGTGCTTTTTTTTTGCATTTTCATATTTTTCTTTCAGTTTTATGTTAGTCACCTACTTATTTCGTTAATTTTCAGTGGTTATATTTTTAGCAAATACAGCTGTTTTAGGGATGTAAACTGGTTCTGCATCAGTGTAAAGTTTGTTTGAGCATCACTCACTAGCTGCGATAACAAGGTGTAGAGCTGGATGAACACAGCAGGCCGAGCAGGAAGGCTGACGTTTCGGGCCTAGACCCTTCTTCAGAAATGGGTCCCCATTTCTCCCCATTTCTGAAGAAGGGTCTAGGCCCGAAACATCAGCCTTCCTGCTCCTCTGATGCTGCTTGGCCTGCTGTGTTCATCCAGCTCTACACCTTGTTATCTCAGATTCTCCAAGATCTGCAGTTCCTACTATCCCTCCACTCACTAGCTGCCTTTCATTTTACCCATTAACAAACATGCATGGTTTACTAAGGATAATCTCTGCATTGCAGTTTTCCACTCTAAATCAAGCACAGTATTTTAGTAACTATATCCATTTATTTACCTTTTTCTAACACCATTATAGTTGACTATTACTTATGCACTATTAGGCTGTTTATTCATTCTGGCTCATTGCTCGTTGCTAAATCTAACGTGGAATACTCACTTGATCATTCCAAGATGTAGTGCTGCAGAAAACTGTCCTAGAAATTGTTCAAGAAATTCACTGCCTTTCTAATGTGCCAGTCTATTTGTCCAAATGAAAGTGAAAATCAGAATCTTCCCCTATAACCAGTCTGCTTATGCTACTTATAATAAAATAAAACAAAACAAAGAACTGCAGATGCTAGAGATCCGAAACAAACAAAAACAGATTGCTGGAGGAACTCAGCAGAACCAGCAGCATCTGTGAAGGCAAAAAGAGTTAACATTTCGAGTCCAGTGACCCTGCTTCAGAGCAATTTTGAACAAAGCAGTACCTTTGCTACTTTCATGTCCAGTCTATCATCTGATATTTGGAGACCTTTAGTTTAAATTATCTGTTTCTTCTTTTTGCTCAAAAAGAATCCCATGACTACTTAACTTGTTTTATCCCCTCATTGCTGAAGTAATTTCATCCTTGCTAATCAATACTTCTCTCCCTCTATCATGTTCCCTGTGGACTTGACAATCTGTTCTGACTCCCAGTGTGTTCAGCCATGTCTCAGCAATGGCTCATAGCTCAAACTGCTGCTTCAATTATTTCAATTTGCTCCTTATACTCCTTGCAACTTGTATGAAGAGTGCTTATTTGGATGATACCCAAATCTGTTCTTTTACCATATTCAATTCAATTCAATTCTGTTGCCCATTCAAAAATTCATTGTTGGGACAGGTAAAATCCTGTGGCATAGCATCAACGTGGCTTATCTTCATCAGTCCATCCACACCTTGTATGTCTCTGAATATACTTCATTTCAAGGCATCATTCTCACAAACGCTGGTTTTGTGGCCAACCCCCTCATAGCTGCTCCCTATGTGCCTCCTGTCTCTGGCCTCGTGTATGCCCTGATCACAGGACATTCGAGCTGAGGATTGTCCCTATTGTGGTGAGGCAGTGCCTGCCCTTGGTTTTTCTGATACCACTGTGTCCTGTCTGGAGCCATTTCATACAAAGGAAAAGCAAAGGCAACTTTCTAGAATACTTTCTGACCACCTAAGAGTCTATGGAGGGTTGACACAGTTGTAAACAGCCCAGGCTAGGAGTCAGAGTGCGTGGGGAAAGTCTTATTTCTTCTTTTCTACACAACATTTAATTTCTCATTTATAATTGACGCCATTTTTGACCCCGACTATTCTGTGCTTTGAAGGTACTTCAAATATGAAGATGACATGTGCAGTAAAAATGTGAAACACGTTGGAAACGTGGTCAGAGACATGGAGATCACCTTTGAGTTTGGAATAAAAGATTCAAAGCTTAAGAGTGAGTACTGGTTAATTGGCTGTTCAAGGATTATTCACAGTCATCAATGTAATGGCCTATTCTAGCAAGAGGTGCAGTGTGCTGTGCGGAGTACCTGGTTATATACTTCCATTAGTGGGATGATCAGATGTCATGGATTACAACGAAATGGGATGGAGTATCCTCATCGTTGAATTTACCACTTCCATTGCACTATCTCTGATTAGTATCATTGCTGTGAAAATCAACCAGGTTTGTTTCATTGCAGCCACAAGTATTTATGCTGCATTCCTGATACTTTCCTTTTCCTGCAAGCCTGGCTTAAGAGGTGGCACAACTGAGAGGGATGAGGGTAATTTTGTGTCTGCAACAGTCGCTCCTGAAAGGGTCTGAAGTTTTTTTATTTTATTTATTATTGTCACATGTACTGCAGTACAGTGAAAAGTATTACTTTGTGTGCTATCCAGCCAAATCATACCTTACGTAAATACGTCGGTGTAATAGAACAGAATGCAGAGTATAGTGTTACGCCTACAGAGAAAGATCAATATTTGAGAGGTTTGTTCAAAACTCTGATAGCAGCAGGGAAGAAGCTGTTCTTGAATCTGTTGGTGCATGTTTTCAAATTTTTGTATCTTCTGCCTGATGGAAGAGGTTGAAAGAGAGTATAACCGGGATGGGAGGAGTCTTTTATGTTGGCTCCTTCCCCAAAGCAGCAGGGAGTGTAGACAGAATCAATGGAAGGAAGACTGGTTTGCATGATCGACTGGGCTGCATTCACAACTCTCTGCAATTTCTTGCAGAATAGTTGCCATACCAAGCCATAATGCATCTGGATAGGTTTGCTTCTTTAGGAATTGAACTATCATATTTATGCACTTTCTGAGCTCAAAAGCACACACTTACAAATCTTTCAGAGATTGAATCAACACTTTTTGAACATTTCAGGACAAGACCATGTATTTATCTTATTTCAGGGCACAAACCATACATTTACACACCTTTTCTGGCTTGAACTAACAGGATGCAGCAAAGAAGCAGCACTGGTTAAGTAGGATACACTGCACTAGATATTACTTTCTCCTGTGGAATATATAAGTAACGTTAATATGAAGACTCTTGCAGGAGATGCATTTAAACAGAGTGTCTTCACAATGTGATATCAAGACAGCCATGTGACCTACTGAATGGTGACCTGTACCCATGGTCATCTGCCTGCAGTGCTGTTTCCTTGTCTCTTTGCCTGTGTGGTTAACGACTGCTTTCAAGTTTAATGGATTGGACAGCATCCAGCATGCAAAGACTGTCATGTTTTATCAGTCAGATTCCAGTATGGGGATGCAATCATCAGTGACTGCTGTGTTTTAAAGAAAGGCAGATGCATTGATCACATTCGACATTTCAGCAGACTGTAGTAAGATAGGATCCCTGCGTTATATGGATGTTGACATTCTCAGCATCACATTGAAAATCGTGACAACCAAATTGCTTTGCGAACTCTGATTTAAAAAGTGCCTGTAACTGCTGAAGGATTTCAACATCCTGAAGTACGGATTACAGGCGATAGCGGGCAAAGCAGCTTTGCTCATCAGCATAGAGTCATAGAATCATACAGCAAGGAAATAGACCCTTCGGTCCAACCAATCCATGCCGACCACAATCCAAAACTAAACTAGTCCCACCTGCCCCTGAACTAGTCCTTGTGATGATTAAAAATTCCTAAGGCAGCCCTCCTTGGAAATGAAGTCAGTAGTAAATGAAGGCCAGTGGATGATGAACCTTATCCATTGCTCCCTTGGACAATGATCCAACTAAGAGTGGCCTGAGCAGCAGCAGAGGGATAGGTACAACGAACCATGTAACTGCAATGTAGTCATTTTGCAAAATTCATTGGTGAGATGTTGGAAATTGAAAGCCTGCAGTGGGGAAGAAAATGGCCATGACCATACTCAGTGGGCAGGGCGAGTCTTTCAGTCGATATGAAGCCTTTTAAAGGGAACAGTATTAAACACAGAGATAGTAGGAACTGCCGATGCTGGCGACTCTGAGACAACAAGGTGTAGAGCTGGATGAACACAGCAGGCCAAGCAGCATCAGAGGAGCAGGAAAGCTGATGTTTTGGTCTGGACCCTTCTTCAGAAATGGGGAAGGGGAAGGGGATTCTGAAATAAATAGAGAGAGAGGGGGAGGCAGATGGAAGATGGATAAAGGAGAAGATAGGTGGAGAGGAGACAGACAGGTCAAAGAGGTGGGGATGGAGCCAGCAAAGGTGAGTGTAGGTGGGGAGTTAGGGTGGGGATAGGTCAGTCCAGGGAGGACGGACAGGTCAAGGAGGTGAGATGAGGCTGGTAGATAGGAGGTGGGCGTGGGGCTTGAGGTGGGAGGAGGGGACGGACAGGTTAGGGAGATGGAGATGAGCTGGGCTGGTCGGGGGAGGGGAGATTTTGAAGCTTGTGAAGTCCACATTAATACCATTGGGCTGCTGGGATCCCAAGCGAAATATGAGGTGCTGTTCCTGCAACCTTCGGGTGGCATCATTGTGGCACTGCAGGAGGCCCAGGATGGATCTGTCGTCCAAGGAGTGGGAGGGGAGTTGAAATGGTTTGCGACTGGGAGGTGCAGTCATTTGTCGTGAACCGAGCGTAGATGTTCCACAAAGCGGTCTCCAAGCCTCCGCTTGGACTCCCTTGTCTGCTCCACACTCCCCTCCAGCCCACCACACCTGGCAGTTTTCCCTGCAACCGCAGGAAGTGCTGCACCTGCCCCTACACCTCCCCCCTCACCCCCATCCCAGGCCCCAAGAAGACCTTCCACATCAAGCACATGTTCACCTGCACATCTGCTAATGTGGTATACTGTGTCCGCTGTGCCCGATATGGCCTCTTCTACATCGGGGAAACCAAGCGGAGGCTTGGAGATCGCTTTGTGGAACACCTGCTCTTGGTTCGCGACAAATGACTGCACCTCTCAGTTGCGAACCATTTCAACTCCCCCTCTCACTGCTTGGACGATATGACCATCTTGGGCCTCCTCCAGTGCCACAACGATGCCACCCGAAGGTTGCAGGAACAGCACCTCATATTCAGCTTGGGAACCCTGCAGCCCAATGATATTAATGTGGACTTCACAAGCTTCAAAATCTCCCCACCCCAAAATCAGCCCAGCTCGTCCCCTCCTCCCTAACCTGTCCGTCCACGCCTTCCACCTCAAGCTCCACCCTCATCTCCTACCTACTAGCCTCATCCTGCCCCCTTGACCTGTCTGTCCTCGTGGACTGACCTATCTCCTCCCTAACTCCCCACCTACACTCACCTTTACTGGCTCCATCCCCGCCTCCTTGACCTGTCTGTCTCCTCTCCACCTATCTGCTCCTTTACCCATCTTGCATCCGCCTCCCTTTCTGTCTCTATTTATTTCAGAATCCCCTTCCCCTCCCCCATTTCTGAAGAAGGGTCCAGACGCGAAACGTCAGCCTTCCTGCTCCTCTGATGCTGCTTGGCCTGCTGTGTTCATCCAGCTCTACACCTTGTTATCTAATATATAACACAGTCATGCACTGCACTGGACACTGATCTGCACATCCCAAATCCTTGGCTATCCTGATGAATTGGCTTGCTGTGTTTGCTTTGAAAGAAACACATTTGGACACCGTGGCCAGGGAAAGAACAGGAATGTTGTAAAATGAGTGGTCAGTGATGTCTGGAGGACCCATATTCCTCTATTCGCGTTGTTCCTCTTGCTTCCAGATGCAGCAGGACAGTCTCTCAACACAGACATTGATCCGTGATTCATGTGGTACAGATATGAAGTTAGATGTAAGACTATAAAATATAGGAGCAGAATAAGGCCGTTTGACCCATTAAATCTGTTTTGCCATTCAATCATGGCTGATGTGTTTTTCAACCCCGTTCTCCTGTCTTCTGCCTGTGATCCTTGATCTCCTTACCAATCAAGAACCGATCTAGGATGTTTAATGACTTGGCCTCCACGGCCATCAGTGGCAATGAGTCCCACGGATTCACCATCCTCTGGCTGAAGAAATTCCTCTCTGTTTCAATTCTAAAGGCTCGTCACTTCGCTCTGAGGCTGTGCCCTCAGGTCCCAGTTTCTCCTACTAATAGGAACATGTTCTCCTCTTCCACACTATCCAGTTAGTACTATCAATATTCTGTAAGTTTCACTCAGATCACCCCTTCATTCTTCTAAACTTCATTGAGTGCAGACCCAGATTCCTCAGCAGCTCCTTTTTTTTTAAAAAAAATTCATTCACAGGATGAGGGTGTCGCTGACCAGGCAGCATTTATTGCCCGTCCCTAGTTGCCCAGAGGGCAGTTAAGTGTCAACCACATTGTGGTGGGTCTGGAGTCACATGTAGGCCAGACCAGGTAAGGATGGTAGTTTCCTTCCCTATAATACATTAGTGAACTAGATGGGTTTTTCCCAGTAATCGACAATGAGTTCATGGTCATCATTAGATTCTTAATTCCTAGATATTTTATTAAATTCAAATTCCAGCATCTGCCGTGGCGGGATTGGAACCCAGGTCCCCAGAATGTTATCTAGGGATCTGGATTCACAGTCCAGTGATAATACCACTAGGCCATTGTCCTCTGTGACTAGTGCTTCATCCCTGTAATCATTCTTGTAAACTTCCTGTAGACTCCCTCCAACACCAGCATATCCTCCCTTGGAGAAAGTGTCCAAACTGCTCTCAATAGTACAAATGCAGTCTGACCAGAGCCTTATATAGCCTCAGCCGTACACCTTTGATGTTGTGTTCTCACCGTTTCAATTGCATTTCCAGATGGGACTGGTCTCAGTGGTGGCCTCAGACCAGACTCCTAGGTTCTAGGATCATGGCCTCCTCTGCCAGCCTTCTGGGAAAAGGGCACCTCTCCGTTGCAACCTCACATCCACCAGGACCTCCAGGTCCCTGTCAGAGAATTGCAGCACCATCTTCTTCTTCTCCCATGAACAAGAAGGGCAGCTTTGGAATGACGGTGCTCATCTGGGTGCATAGTTGCCAGTGTCAGGAATGCTGGTATGTCGGTGAATGCCTGGTGAATGGTGAGTTGTTTAGGGAATGATGCATGGTAAGATGGATCTAGAATTGGATGTGTGGGACACTATGAGGGTAGCCAAGTAGGTAATGAGATGTTTGGTAAGAGATGGCAAGAAATCTCGCTAGGGTTTGCAAGGAAAACCCTCCAAGAAAATTGTTGCAGCTCGCAAAAATAAAATCAGCCAAACAATACTGAAAAAGGTCATCTGCCATGCAAGAATTCTGTGAAATTACTCAATATAACAATGTGCAATGAAACAACACTGAACTCATTCAGAAATAATAAGTTTTGCTATTTATCCAGAAAAAGGTTGCAGCAAATTGAACCACAAAACCTAGTTTGATACAAGGTAACTTGATTATCAACTAATGTCTGAATTTTAATTGAAATAAGGGAAACCGAGAAAAGTCAATGAAATTCTTCTAATATGTTAGAATTTGCAGGATTTCAATTATCTTTCCTTTTCAGAAATTCAAGAGAAGACAGCTCTTCCCTTTCAACTTCAAATTGGCTTCAGGCTCCCTGATGGTCAATGTGCCTACAGAATTATCACCCAGGAGAAGCCAACAACGAAACACAGGTAACTGGGCACTAAAACAAAACAAAGAACTGCAGATAACAAGGTGAAGAGCTGGACGAACACAGCAGGCCAAGCAGCACCACAGGAGCAGGAAGGCCTACACCTTGGGTCTGGGCCCGAGGCGTCGGCCTTCCTGCTTATGTGGTGCTGCTTGGCTTGCTGTGTTCGTCCAGCTCTGCACCTTGTTGTCTCAGATTCTTCAGCATCTGCAGTTCCTACTATCTCTGAAACAACTGCCGATGTTGGAGATCTAAAACAAAAACAGAAATTGCTGGCGAAACCCAGCAGGTCTGGCAGCATCTATGGGAAGAAAGCACAGATAATGTTTCGAGTCTGATGAGTCTATCAAATGCTGCCAAATCTGAGTTTCGCCAGTGCTTTCTGTTTTTGTCACAGTTAATTGGGACTGTCTGCAAGAGCTAGTCTTCCATTATTATTTACTTACCAAATACAAATTCCCAAACATGATGAACAGTACGACCCTCAGAAGCACCAAGGATCTGGGGGACCTTGGTGTGCATGTCCACTAGTCTCTAAAGAGGTAATAGGACAGATAGATACAGTGATTAGGAAGGTATATGGGATACTTGCCTTTACTAGCTGAAGCATAGAGTCTAAGAGCAAAGAGGTGATGCTGGAACTGTATAAAACATTGGTTAGACCACAACCAGTGTGTTGTGTGCAGTTCTGAAAGGATGGAACAGTACTGAAGAAAGTGCAGAGATATAGCAGGATGTTGTGTGAATTTTAATTATGAAGGGAGATCGGATAAACTGGGGTTCATAAAATCATAGAATATCCACAGTGTGGAAGCAGGCCATTTGCCCATTGTGCCCACACTGACCCTCTGAAGAGCATCCCATCCAGACCTGTGTCCCCATCCCTATGAACCTGCATTTCCCATGGCTAACTCACCTAGCCTGCACATCCCTGGACACTGTGGGCAATTTAGCATGGCCAATCCACCTAACCTGTACAACTTTGGACTTTTGGTTGTTCTCCTTGGAGCAGATAGTACTACGTGGGGGTCAGGATTGCGATGCTTAAAATTATGTGAGGCATAGATAGAGTAGATAGAGAAACTTTCTCCCTCGATCGATGACTGGGAGCATTGATTTAAGGTAAGGGACAGGCGATTTAGGGGGGATGTGAGTGAGGGTATTGAGAATCTGGAACTCACTTCCTGTAAGGGTGGTAGAGGCAAAAACCCTCATAAAATTTAAGAAGTGTTCAGATGTGTACTTGCAATGCCAGGGCACACAAATCTATGAGCCAATTGATGGAAAGTGGGATTAGAATAGTTAGGTGAATAATAAAAAAAGAATTGGAAATGCTGGATTTGAAAACAAATTGCTGGAGCCGCTCAGAAGGTCTTCACAAATGCTGCCAGGCCTGTTGAGATTCTCCAGCAATTTCTGTTTTTAGAGTAGTTAGGTGGTAATTCTTTCCAAGTGCAGACTCAGTGGGCTGATGGCCCCTTTTTCCTTTTAGACTTCTATGACTCTAAAACCAATCAGTAGCTTAATTTGCTGAGTTTAAGGCGATACGTCCATTACTTGGTCTGTAAATGGAACACATGGGAATGTGCAACATTGTGCCTCAGCACAAGTTCATCAGGTACTGAGGCTGCTTTGATTGGAGCTTTGATGCACAGATTTTGCTGCTACTCTCTACTTTACAACACAATGTATCACTCAGTTTCACTGTATTGAACTTTATTTACCATTTATATGCCCACTCTAACGACTGGTCAATGTCTTTTGGAGTTCTGCGTGGTCCTCCATGAATTGTTCCAAGTTTTGCAGTCTTTACAGTTGTATCCTGGATACCATGATTGTTTATATATTCAGCGAAAGCAAAGGTTCCAATGCTGAGCCCTGGAGAACTCTATCCCATATGTCCCCCGGCCTGAAAAATATCCATTGACCATTACTCTCTGTTTCCTATCACTCAATTAGTTTTGTATCCATATTGCTCCTGTCCTTTTTATACCAAGACCTATAACTTGCCTCTCAAGTCTGTTGTGTGGCACTTTACCAAAGTCCTTATGCAAGTCCATGTACAGCATCTAACAAGTAAATTAAACATAATTTTCCGTTTTGAAATCCATGCTTCACTCCTTAATTTACACACAATTAATTTTTCCAGAAATTGCCACTCCCCTAGCCAAGCTGTTCCAGTACAGCTACAACACTGGCATCTACCTGACAATGTGGAAGATTGCACAGGAATGTCCTGTACACAAAAAGCAGAACGTACCCAGCCCGACCAATTGCCATCCCATTCGTCTACTCTCAAATCATAAGTGAAGTGATGAAAGGTGTCATCAGCAGTGCTATCAAGCAGCACCTGCTCAGCAATAACCTGTTCAGTGACACCCAGTTTGGGTTCCACCAGGGCCACTTAGCTCCTGACCTCATTCCAGCCTTGATTCAAACATGGGCAAAAGAGCTGCATTCCAAAGCTGAGGTGAGAGAAATTGCCTTGATATTAAGTCTGCGTTTGACCAAGTGTGGCATCAAGGGCCACCAGCAAAACTGGAGTCAATGGGAATCAGGTAAAATTCTCTTCATTGGTTGGTATCATACTCGGTACAAGGGTTGTTGGAGGTCAGTATCTCAACTCCAGGACATTTTTGCATGAATTCTTCTGGATAGTGTCCTTGGCCCAACCATCTTTAGCTGCTTTTTCATACAATCAGAAGTGGTGATGTTTGCTGATGACTGTTTTACTTGCTGGATGATGTACATGGATTTGCATAAGAGATTTGATGCAGCATGGTGGCTCAGTGGTTAGCACTGCTGCCTCACAGCGCCAGGGTCCTGGGTTCGATTTCACAGGCAACTGTCTGCCTGTGTGGAGTTTGCACGTTCTCCCTGTGTCTACGTGGGTTTCCTCCAGGTGCTCTGGTTTCCTCCCATAGTCCAAAGATGTGCAGTTTATGTGGATTGGCCAGTTAAATTGCCCATAGTGTCCAGGGATGTGCAGGCGAGGTGGATTAGCTGTGATGGGTCTGGATGGGATGCTGTTCGACGGGACAGTGTTGATGGGTTGAATGACCTGCTTCCACACTGTTGGGATTATATGACTACACAAAGTTCAGCACCATTCGCATCACCTCATATTGATGCAGTCCCTTTCCAAATGTAGCAAAACCTGGAGAATATCCAAGTATAGCATGAAAAGTGGCAGGAAACGTTCATGCCACAAAAGTGCCAGGCAGTGACCAAACAAGAATCTAACCATTGTCTCTTATCATTTAATGGCATTACCACTGCTGAATCCCCACTATCAACATCCTGTGAGTGGCGATTGACCAGAAACCCAATTGAACTAGCCATATAAACACAGCGGCTAAAAGAACGTCAGAGGCTAGGAGTCCTTCAGGAAGTAATTTACTTCCTGATTTCCCTAAAGCCTGTCCACCATCTACAAGGCACAAGTCAGGAGTGTGATGGAATACTCCCCACTTGTCTGGATGAGTGCAGCTCCAAAAACACTCTAAGAAGCTTGACACCATCCAGGACAAAGCAGTCCACTTTATTGGCACCACCTTGACAAACATGCATTCGCTTGACACAGTAACAGCAATGTGTAGCATCTGCAAAAATGCTGCAGAAATTCAGCAATGCTCCTTAGTGCCTTCCAAACCCAGAACCACTTCTGTCTAGACGGACAATGGCAGCAAATACATGGGAACACCACTCCTTGCATGCAAGTTCCCCTCCAAGCCACTCATCATCCTGAATTGGAAACATTGTTGTTCCTTCAGTGTTGCTGAGTCAAAATCATAGAACTCCGTCCCTAACAGTGTTATGAGTGTACTTCAACAAATGAGCTACAGCAGTTCAAGAAGGCAACTCATACCCACCTTCTCAAGAGGAAGTAAGAACAGGCAATAAATGCTGGACAAGCTGCTGATGCTCATGGGATGCCTTGGGCAGAGCAGTTGACATATCAAGCTATGATGCATCTGGAAGGATGCTTTCTATGGTGCATCCATACAAATTGATAAGAGTTATTGTGGACATTCTGAATTTCGTTATCCTTCTGAGGAAGTAGAGGCGTCAATGTGGATGGACCAGAATAGATTGTTGGTGATATTTACTCCTAAGAGCTTGACCATCTCCACCTCAGCATAATTTATACAGGCAGGGACATGTCCTTCACTCTGCTTCCTGAAGTCATTGACCAGCTGACATTGAGGGAGAGATTGTTGTCTTTACACCATGCTACTAAGCTGCCTGTCTCTTTCTTCTATTCTGTCTCATCATTGTTTGAGTTCCGACCCAGTACAGTGGTGTCATCAGCAAATTTGCAAATACAGTTAAAGCTGAATTTGACTGTATAAGGAATATAGTAAGGGGTTGAGTATGCAACCTTGCAGGGCACCTGTATTGAGGAGGTGTTGTCGCCAATTCTTATTGATTTGCGGTCTATGGGTCAGGAAGTCAACGATTCAGTTGCAGAGCGTGGAGCAGAGTCCTAGATCTTAGAGTTTGGATTTTGTTGGATTTATGGTGGTGAAGGCGGAGATAGTCAATAAATAAGAGTCTGACATAGATGTCCTTGTTATCCAGATGTTCCAGGGATGAGTGTAGGCCAGGGAGGTGGCATCTGCCATGAACCTGTTGTGATGATAGGAGAATTGTAGTGTGTCAAGGCAATATGAGAGGCTGGAGTTGATGTGTCATTATTAACCTCTCGAAGCACTTCATAATAATGGATGTCATAACTACTGGGCAGTAGTCATTAATGCACATTGCTTGATTTTACTTTGGCACTGGGATGATGGTGGTCCTCTTGAAGCAGGTGGGAACCTTATATTGTAGTAAGGAGAGGTTAAAGATGTGTACAAATACTCCTGCCAGCTTTGGTCTTGTATAAATGATGGAGGCAGCATTCTGCTCTCTAGCCAAGTCAGTGAACCCTTCGCCTGGTCTTCCTCTTCCGTTTCTGGTCCATCTTTCAACTGCCTGATGGGGACTGTGCAATGAAGACTGTTGTCTGGGGATCACCTGATGAGAACTGCTTGGTCTGCTTGATAAGAACTCCCCTCTGCTCTGGGCACTTACTTTATCTTATTTCTATGGACAGGTAACTTAGGCTGTGTAAATCAATTATCTGAACTCTTTTGTCCTATGACCAAGGGACAGCCACTCATGACATTGGATGATTGTTGTTCCCTTGTCTGCCTTCATCTGAGGCTTAGTTTTCATTCCTTCCAAAAACAAATCTCTTCAAAACAATGCACTGATATGAGGGTGCACTTGGCACCAGATAAACTGTTAGCATCAGTTTAGTGGGTATTGTGACCTCTGTTTTGGAAAGTTCATTTAACAGCTACTACAGCAGTAATTAAATCTCACACTACACAGTAACTACTAGGAAAATTCTGTTTTTAAGGGATCCCATTATGCAACATGGTTCTGGTCATCACACTTTCCGAAAGATAAGATCGTTGATAGAGTCAGTGGAGACTTATGAGAACTTTTAGCTAAGAAATGAGTTTGGAGAAACTGGATTCATTTTCCACGGAGCAAATGAGATTGAGAGGAGGTTTGTTAGAAGTATACAAGATTATGATAGTTTTAGATAAGGGAGACGCGAAAAGTTAATCTCAGCTAATGTACAATTATTCTGACACAGTTTTTGGATTTTGATGATTTTGATGTGAGGATGAACTTTTTATTCAGTGGTTGGTCATGACTTGGGACTTGATGCCCAAAAGAATGGTGGTTGCAGAGATAATGATTTCAAAAGATAATTTGATGAAGTCTTGAAAATAAATTGTCAGGGCTAAGAGAAGAGAATATGGGGAAGGGACAGACTAGATAGCTCCACCGTGTGCCTGTATGGACTTAGTAAACTGATGGCCTTTGTGCTGTAAATGCTGTAAATTACTTATTAATGCCTCATGGATATGATCAGAATTTAGGGGTGCATTAGAATCAAGAAGAATAGCTCGTGTGATGGTACAGTGCTTTTGAGAGATTTGTTATGTGCTGTTTCACTTGCAGAGAGGTGTTGCTACAGTGGTGCCAGAATCGGTGTATAAAGAGCCTTGAGCTCAGAGTTTAGATTTAAATTAGACATGAAGAATGAGTGGGTGGAGTCAGGCTCACGCAGACCTAGGTTTTTAGTTTTGCTTTCAGTTTTGGTTTGAAGCTGACTGGCTGAAGCTGATAGATCTCTCCCAAAAACCTTGAGTCCTCTCTCTGCTGCTAGATTGTTTCTTTCGATGTTCCTTTCACCTGTATTGGAAAGGAGATAGCATGTGAGGAAAATCTGTTCTGCTGAATTTACCTTTGCCAAAGATGAGTTTAATGGGATGTTGGTATGTTGGAACAGTTGATTATTAGTAGTTAAATAATATTTTATTAAGTATTTCAAAACAGTTAAAGTTATGCGAATTCATGTTTTGTATTTGAATTGTATTGTAAGAATAAAGTGTGTTTTGCTTAAAGCGCAGTAGTGGACCAGTTGAATTATGTCTGGAACACAGTGCCTTACATTTGCCTTTAAACAAAATAAATCCTTGATATATTTTGAGGGGATTTATTCTGGCACATAACAGTGGGGATGCAGAGCAAAAAGGAAAAGGAGTAGAGGATGGGGGAAGAATGGTTGGAGGGCAAAGGAGAAGGGAATTGAAGCAGGAGCAGAAAGGATGGCTGTGGAAGATCCATGAGAGACTGCGCTGTGAAGTCAATGATTTAGATCTATATTTCGATATAAACCTGAGCAAAAAATTCATCAATTAAAACTTAATTAATTTTGTGTTTGGATTGCTGGTTGTACCCAAATATTGTATTGAAATTATACTGAAGCACTCTTCACTTACCGATCTAGCGTTGTCCTGTGCGTGTACCAGTGTGGCACCATTCGTGCATAAGAATGTACTAGCATATATCTATTTTTCAGTCTGTGAACCTGCATATTTCTGTCTCTCGGTTAACATGACACTGTCCGTGGACTGGTGTATGCTAGAGTGTACCTGCATACGGCAACTCAGTCATGTCAGTGTATTATCATACACTTGTGTGATATCACTCATACCTTTATGGTACTGTTGATGTACTGCTGTCCACTTTGTGTACCATAGATTGGGTGATCTGGTGGCATGGATTGAGTATTGGTTAATGAACAGAAAACTGAGAGGAGGAATAATTGGACCATTCTCAGGTTGGCAGGTGTGATTAATGAGAATGTGCAAGATCAGTTTTTGGGCCCCATAACTTGCAATTTATGTCAATGATTAGAATACAGGGACCAAATATGATATTTTCAAGTTTGCTGATGGAATAAAGCTAGGTTGGAAAGTGAGTTGTGAGAAGGATGCAAAAAGTCTTCAAGAGATTTATGCAGTGCACTGTGCACCCAATGTGCCCCTGTCTGCCAGTGTGCACCAAATTGACGCTATTCATACATCTGTTCTGCCTGTGCAGCTGAAGTAGTTTTTTTTTAATATTTCAGTGCCATTGTTAAGGACCATGTAAACCTCGGTGTTCTACAGATTCACGCTGCACAGATTAGTGCTCGGTTGGCATTGGAGGGTAGAATGCAAGATGCCCAGAAGGAGGCCCTGGCTCAGAAGAAACTCATAGAAGAAATACTGTAAGTGGTACATCACCAATCCTCTGATCCACTGTGTGTAGAAGCTGGAGGTAATATTGGCTGGTACTTTATCCATGGCACACTGTTCCTTATGGTGGACCTGGAACTGGGCACCAGTTCTGCTGTCAACCTTTCTGCTTGTTATGCAGACATAGAACCATGGAAAATAGGAGCAAGAGTAGGCTGTTGAGCCCACTCTGCTAAATCAACACAATCATAGATGATCCTCTGTCAATGCTATACTCCTGCTCTCTCCACACACCTTTCAACACCTTTTAGCTTCTAGAAATTCAATATATTTCTTTCTTAAATATATTAAGTGACTTCACTTCCATAGTTTCTATGCTGGAGAATTCCTCAGGTTCACTACCCCCGAGTGAAGAAATTTCTCCTCATCTCAGTCCAAAATTGCCTACCCATATCCTGAGACTGTGACCTTTTGTTCTGGTTTTACCTGGCAGGGGAAACATCCTCCCTGCAACTAGACTGTCCAGCCCTGTCAGAGTTTTATGTTTCAATGAGATCCCCTCAATCTTCTAAACTCCAATGAATACAGGCTTAGCTGATCTCGTACTAACCTGATGTCCCAGGAATTCCATGCATCTTTCCTTAGGTAAGGAGACCAAACCTGGACACAATACTCCAGATGTGGTCTCACCAAGGCCCTATAAAGCTGCTGTAGGACATCCTGCCCCTGTACTCAATATCTCTTGTTATTAAGGCCAATATACTATTTGTTCTCCTGTTTGCTGCATCTACATGCTTACTCTCTCAGTACAGGGACAGTCATTCCTTTGTATGTCAACATTTTCTCGTCTACCACCATTCAAATAATACTGTCATTATGTTTTTCCACTGAAGTAGATAACTTCATGTTTATCCACGTAATACTACAACTGCCATGTATTTGTCCACTTACTCAACTTGTTTAAATCATTCTGAAGCCTCTTTACATCCACCTCACTACTCAATCTCCCACCTAGTTTTGTATCAGCAGAAATCTTGAAAACATGACACTTGATTCTGACATCCAGATCACTGATATATATTGTGAATAGCTGGGATCCAAGCTCTGACCCCTGCTGTATCCAACTTGTCAATGCCTACCAGTCCAAAAGAATCTAATTATTCCTACGCTCTATTTCCTGCCTGCTAACCAATTCTCAATCTATGCCAATATATTACTACAAATTCCAGATGCCTGATTTTGCACAATAACCTTTGATGTTGGATTTTATCAAAAGCTTTCTGAAAAAGCAAATATACCACATCCACTAGTTATCAATCATTTATCCTACTTGTTAGGTCATCACAAATCTCCAGTATATTTGTCAAACATAATTTCTCTTCCATAAATCCGTGTGGACTTCGTGTAATCCATTTGTACTTTCTGAATGTATTGTTATCACATCCTTTATAACAGATGCCAGCATTTTCCCCACTACAAATGGTCGACTAGCTAGTTTGTAATTCCTGTTTTCCTCCTCCTTTCCTATTTTAAGCAGTGGGGTAACATTTGCCATCCTTCATATACTGGGATTGTTCCAGAACCTACAAACTTTTAGAAGGTGACAGCCAATGCCTCTGCTATTTCCACAGGCACTTGTAGGTTATCAGGTCTTAAGACTTGTATGCCTTCAGTCCCATTAATGACTGCAGCACTATTTTTGTTACCAGTACCAAGTTCCTTCAATTCCTCCTTCCCAACGGACACTTGTTTCCCTAATACTTCGAGAAAGTTTCTTGCATCTTCTTCTATGAAGACAGAGTAAAACAAATGATTTAATTGATCTGCCATTTCCTTGTTCCTCATTATCAATTTATGGTTTCAGACTGTAAGAAGCTACATTTGTCTTCAATTATCCTTTCCGTTTTGCATCGTTATAGAAGCTCTTACAGTCTGCTTTTATATACCTTGCAAGTTTACTGTTATACTGTCTCTTCCCCCATTTAGTCAGCCTCTCAGTCCTCCTTTGCTGAATTCTAAACAGCTCCGAATACTCAGGCTTCTATTATGACAGGGAATCAGCAAGCCAAATGAAATCAATCTCCTTATCCCTGGATTCGCAACACAGTAAAATTAAAGCATTCAATGAACCTCAAAAATCAGTCAATTGTTCCTAATTGGACTTTAAGAAATGACAAGTTTATTACTTAAACAGAAATGAACAGTTATTAATAATGTAACTTTAGCAGAACATGGATCGACAAAAAGCCAATCTATTTAATATCTATGATCTAAGCTCAGTCTTCACTAACCAGAACCCATTCATTCAGTCACATACAGCCAGACACAGTTAAGGGAGAAATTAAAAGAAAAAAAAGTCATTTGCCAGTTCAGCAGTTTCATGGTGGGTACCAGGCTTTCAGAAATCATCAGGTGTTCATAGGCAAGCAAACTGTAGGGTCGTGCTTGAATTCCAGAGTGACTGATTCATGCAAACATATCCAATAACCCTCCAGGATTATTTACCCATTTCTTGCAGAGGGCTATTTTCTTATCAGTACAACCAACAAGTCAACAACTACAGTGAAAACCCAAGAGACACAGACAGAGCAAAACACTTAAAGGTTTAAAACCACAGTCAGAACTCATTCACTCTCTCCTCTCTTACCAACATTCTCTCTGGCTGGCCAGCACCAATTTGCCTTTGATTGACCAAATCAACATTCAACCAGTTTGACAGTCTTGAGTCTAGAACATCACAGTGCCAAAGTCCTGTAGCGTTCTTAGGGCAATAATTAACCTGCGGTTATCTTTTCAGTTGCCAGAAACAAGCATCAGTTTGTTTGTTTTCTCCTTTCAAAAACAAGCTGCTGCTCAAATTTCGAAGTTTGATTCTCAATTTCCGCTCACAGTTCCAAGCCGAAAATGGAGAAAATGCAGAAAAACAATGATCACAGCAACATTTTGTGTACTTTCACCTGAAAATAATGTATAACCCCTGAAATGCATGCATTTGTTCCTTAAATGTTAACAATTGCTTATTTGCTGTCACGCTTTTTAACAAAGTTACCCAGTCTATTACAGCCACCCACCTCTCAAGATTTCATAATTTGCATTGGTTAGATGTTAGACTGTTGTTTGGGATAACTTCACTTTTCATCCCAATAAAGAATTTTACCATGATATGGCCACTTATCCTGAAAGGACCTCTTGCAACTAGATTATTAATTAATCCCTTCCCATTACACAAAACCAAATCTAGGATAGCCAGTTCTCAAGTTTGCTCTGTAACTTCCTATTCTAAAACATGCACCTTTTGCACAATGCAGGAATTCATCCATCACAGTTTTCCTGCAAATGTGTTTTTCCCAGTCTGTGTCTGGGGAGAGTACTGCTGTTTTGGCTGCTCAATCTTAGTTTGACTCTATTTTACACTCTCACTCACTTCCAGCTTGATTCCTCCATGACTTGGACCATATCCCAACCCCATTACATATTCACGCATCATTCATTTGCACTTGCCTGCCCAGTCCTCCACGTAGAGTCATAGAGTAATACAGCATGGAATCAGGCCCTTCGGTCCAAACTGGTCCATGGTGACCATGGTACCTTCTCAGCTAGTTCCCGCATTTAGTCCATATCCCTCTAAACCCTTCTTATCCATGTACTTATCTAAATATATTTTAAATGTTGCTGTTGTACATGCCTCAACCACTTTCTCTGGTAGCCCATTCCATATACGCACCACTCTGCGTGAAGAAGTTACCCCTCAGGTCTTTCTTAAACCTCTCCCCTCTCACCTTAAACCAAAGCTCTCTAGTTTTCAATTCCCATCCCTGGGAATAAGTCTAAATGCATTCATCCTATCTATGCCCCTCATGATTATATACACCTCAATTAAGTCACCCCTCATTCTCCTACATTCCAAGAAATAAAGTCCCATTCTGGCCAGCCTCTCCCTATGACTCAGGCCCACTAGTCCTGCCAACATCCTCGTAAATCTTCTTTACACACTTCCCAGTTTACTTATGTCTTTCCTATAACAGGGTGACCAAAAGTGTACACAATGCTCCAAGTACGACCTCACTAATGACTTGTACAACTATAACATAACGTCCCAACTCCTATACTCAATGCCTTGACCGATGAAGGCCAACATGCCAAATGCCTTCTTCACCACTCTGTCCACCTGTGACACCGCTTTCAACGAACTATGTACTTGTACTCCTAGGTCCCTCTGTTCCACAACACTCCTCGGGACCTTACCATTTACTGTATAAGTCCGACCTTGATTTGATATTTGAAAGTGCGCGTAGACTGTTATTCTTTCGCTTTCTTCCCTTGAAATTCAACAAAGAAAACTGCTGACCTCAAATGCCATTACACTGTCCCAATTGTTGTATGTCATCTCTGAACAAATATAAACAGAGTGTTACAAAATTCCGATGCACTGCTGACTTCATCTTAAATGTGAAATTTAATTTCAAGGAGTGTTAATATAATTATTTATTGATGCAAGTATATTTAAAAAGTAGGAACCTGCCATGGGAAGTTGTTTGGTGTGACCTGCTGAAAACTTTATCTCTGCATTTTAAACTGCTTCAGGGCAAAGTGCAATTGTAGTTTCCACCTAACTCATTTTGGCTGTGTTTGTTAACACCCAGCAACATGTGTAGTAGAAGTTAGATCTCTGAAATACATTGTAAAGTAAAGAATGATAAAATCCTAACAAACCCTTAATGGGAAAAAATATTGATGAATAGAAAGAAACTGCCAGATTACAAAGAATATTTTCAAATATTTTAACAAATTGGCACATATACATGTAAGATTGGTTGAGGTTGGTTAGCTCAGTAGGCCGGACAGCTGGTTTGTAACAATGATTTTAACAGTGTGGGTTAAACTTCCACATTAGCTGAGGTTACCATTAAAGACTCTCCTCATTCTGTCTCTCCACTTGAGGAGTGGTGACCCTCAGGTTAAACCACCACCAGTCATCTCTTTCTGAGAGAGCAGCTCAATGATCTGGTAGGGCTGTAGTGACTTTAGCTTTTACAAGTGCACATTTGAAAATAAATCAGAAGTGACCATGTGCAGTCAGAATATTTCATCAATTTGTCACCTGCTTGTCCCATCTCCTTGGATGCTCTTGGAGACTTCATGAAATTACCCCAGCATCTTTTTGTACTGTGTGAAAAAACTTTTGAAAACCCACCACACGAATGTAAGATAACTACTCTTTGTAGGTATGATGTTACTGTGTCTTTAAGAGACATTTATCCTGTGCCATTACTCTTACAGAAAGGTGTTGCCATAGTAGTGGCAAAATGTCTGCTTCAGAAGCAGGGGATAAACTGCTTTGAGCTCCCTGCTTTTAAATTAAATAAAAGAAGCATGAGTGGGTGGAGTTGGACTCACAGACCCAGGGTTTTAGTTTTGCTTTCAGTTGTAGTTTGGAGCTGCTGTTGAAGCTGGTAGATATAGTTCTGTCTCTGCTGCAGCAAAAAGCTTGAGTTCTGTCTCTACTACTAAATTGTTTCTTTGTGTTCCTTTTTTTCTGGACTGGAAAGGAGATAGCACATGAGGGAAGTCTGTTTTGTTGCATTTGCCTTTGCCAAGGGTGTATTTGTGTTGCTGCTGTATTGAAACAATTGATGATTAGTAGTTTAAATAATGCATTATTTTATTAAGTGTTTCAATGGAGTTAAAGTTATCCAATTTTTTTTGTTTGTATTTTAACTGTGTTCTAAGAACATAGTTTGGTTTGCTTGAAGCCCAGTAATGGAACAATCAAATCACATCTGGATCAAAGTGCTTTATACTTGCCTTCGAATAAAATAAAAGTTAGGGTCTCGGCTATCTCTTTGATCTATTTTGAAGGCGTTTGGTCTGGTCCATAACAAATGTTATACAAGTCCTTGCAAAATGCTTTGGGAAATGCTATATATGAATATAAAATACCATGCAAGTGGTATACAAACATAAGTTGGCGCTGTTTCTGTAATCAAACTGAGTCTGCACCTTACCATGTGGCGGCTTTACAGATTCCATGCTCTCTAAGTGGGGACATTCAGGACCTGCTTGGTGTAGTGCAGGAGAGAAAAACCATTTACTGGCCTAATGAGAAGAGGCTCTTAAACATGAAGTAGTTCATAGCACGTTAACATCGAGTTACAGGTTACATTCATGGTTTAGGCATTGTTACATGGATTATGAGGAGGACCCAACTATTGGGTTTTATACCTCCTGAGATCCCAAATGTCCACCATTTAACATCAAACTGGGTGGTGCTTAAGGCACTCGACAATTACAAAACTTTCAAACTATCCCTCTCTGACAAGTTTATTCCTTCTTATGGTACTTGCTGTGCCGAGAGTGATAAAATTCTCAATAACGTTACCAGCCAATCCTCCAAGTAACTCCCTTTCACAAATTAACGTTTCCCTCACGATGATGCAATTGAATCCAATAATTATTGTTACTTCCACAGAGCCAGAAAGAAGGATTTGGAGCAAGGAGCGATTTACGAGAGTTGGATGCAATCCATGTCCCCTATTTATAGTGCCCTCGATTGGAAAGTTCAGGTAACCATTCCCATATCTTTTTTTTACTTTCCCTTAACTTTCCAACAGCAACTACAAGTGAAGAATATATTTCACTCATCCATTAATTCCATTGAATTCAGTAACAATCAGGAATTGAGAGTCTTATGATGACCGTGATCCATTGTCAATTTGTCAGAAAACCCATCTGGTTCACTAATGTCCTTTAGGAAAGGAAACTGCCATCCTTACCTGGTCTGGTCTATATGTGGCTCCAGACTCTCAGCAATGTGGTTGACTCTTAACTGCCCTCTGGGTAATTGGGGATGGGCAGTAAATGCTGGTCTAGCCTGCGGCACCCTTATCCTGTGAATGAATTTTAAAAAAAATCTTGAATCAGTTTTGATAGCTTATGCAAACAGTACAGCCTAACAGTGCATTCACTACTTTTTGATCTAGCCTCTACAGAAATGTCTGAGCAGTTAGTGGGAAGATGGTGTGCTTTGTCTGGTTCCTGGTCTCTAACCCATGACTTTAATACCATTCAAGATTAAACTTAATTTAGAAGACTTAGCAAGGTAGTTTCATCAGTCACTCACTAAGGAAGTTAAGCGTTGTATTAGAGGAGGCAGTAGTGTAATGGTATTGTCACTACACTAGTAATCCAGAGTTCTAGGCCAGTGCTGTGGGTACCTGGGTTCTACACCAGTCGTAGCAGATGGTGGAATTTAAATTCAGTTGATCAATCAGAAATTTAAACTATCATTTATCTGAAATGGCTGAACAAGCCACTTATTTTTACCAAACCACGATAAAGACAAAATTGGAAGAATTGCCCCACAGACTATATAAAGGGGCACCCTGTCAGACATTTGCCATCCTCCATGTGGAACACGTTACCTGGGCAGGAGGGGATGGGGGGTATTTGGGGCATTGTCAGATATAGATACGATGGAGGGAGTTCCCTTTGGAGTCCTCAACGTTGACTCTGGATCCCGTGAAATCTCATGGCTTCAGGTCAGTCGCAAACAAGGAAACCTCCTGCCAATTACCACGTACCACCCCGTTGCCTTCTGTGATGGTGTTCCATGTGGAGTGTGGCAAAGGCACAAAGATACTCCAGGTGGGGCACCTCAATGTCCACCTTGAACAGTGACCATTTGCTGCTAGATTGTATAGACTCAGTCCATCTTGGCTTTCTCCTCAGGGTCCCAGCATCAAAAATGCCAGCCCCCAGAAAATACAATTCACTCCACACTATCAAGAAATTGCTGAAGTCCTTGGAAAATGCTAAGGCTGTGGGAAGAGGTCATTTGGGTCATCGAGTCTGCACAGACCCTTCAAAGACCATCCCACCCAGACCCAGCCCCATACCCTATCCCTGTAAGCTTGCATTTGCAATGGCTAATCCATTTAGTGTGCACATCCCAAGACCCTGTGGACATTTAGCGTGGCCAGTCCACATAACCTGCACATCTTTGGACCATGGGTGGAAACTGGAGCACCCAGTGGAAACCTTTGCAAATACGGAGAGAATGTGCAAACTCCACACAGGCAGTTGCCTGAGGGTGGAATCGTATCCGAGTCCCTGACGCTATGAGACAGCAATGGTAACCATTGAACCACAGAGTTAAAGCTGCCAGACTGGGTCAGGAAGAGTAGAAAAAGAGTCACTAAACGTGGTCTTGGCCTTATAGAATAGCAGCATTTATATATTCAGCAACTCTGAAGAGATTTATTTGTATGGTTCATGACCCATTGGATTTTGGCAAGATTCTGTGCCATGAATACGAAATTCTTTTGTTAAAAGTTCAATACTATAACAGTACAATTTAAAAACGCTTCATATTGCTGTCAGTGATAATGTTATAGGGGATGCTTTGTGGAGAGCAAATATGAATAAACACAATGTTGCGATCAGAATGGACTTGTGCAGCATATGATTATGAAAATCAGTGCATTTTTTAAGCATTAATAGTGAAAAACGTAAAATGAAAAATTTTGATAGTGAATGAAAATCCTTTCCAATTTTTCTTTCTTGTGAGGTGTGATAAAGATGTATAATATCATTTGAGAAATTAGATTTTGAAAATAATAGATTTGGACCTTGGTAGAAGTCAAAATGTTTGCAACAGTGACATTTCCAAGAAAGCATGTGATTCACTTCACTGCCTACCATGGGTGCTGTTAGTTGATGAAATCTTTACACTAGTGAGTTTGTAACAAACAGAAAACAAACTAGGGGACACTTGTTTCATTTGACTTCAGTTCAGAAGAATTGGGAATTGAGTTCACAAGAACGGTTGCCACCCTAGTAGGAGGTTTTTAATTTGTGAAGTCTCCAAGCTGAGAGTTTGTATGAAAGTAGTCAAGCTGTCTCAAGAAGAAGAACTGGAAAATATCAGTTAAGTAAGAAATTAAAGAGTTGAGATACTCATGGATTGACTATATGTAAAGGATGCTACTGGGAAACCGGTTGAAGCTCTGTTTTGCTATTTATGTTAATATCTTTTTGCACTCTTCAATATGGAACTTTTTCTCCTTTTGTTAAAGAATGTTTGCAGCCTTGTGTGAATAATTCTGTGGCTGATCACCATGGTAACCAACTGCAAAAATTAGACTTATGATCAACCAATCTGTGCTTTACCCTGGGCTCTGAAACAAAAACAGAAAGTTATGGAGAAACTCAGCAGGTCTGATAACATCTGTGGAGAGAAAAACAAAATGAATGTATTTTGAGTCCTTTGACCCTTCATCAGAACTGAAAGCAGCTGGGAAAGGATGGTATTTAAACAAATGATCGGGGTGGGGTTTTGGTGTAGTGGATAGGAGTGAATAGAATACATGGAGACGGTGCCAAGAGAGAAAACAAGGACAAGCAAAGGGTTTTGCTGAAGATAAGCCGAGATAGTGATGAATGCCGGGAGGGTGCGAACAGGAACTGGTTTTCAACTAAGCATACATCTTTGGCTAAATGCTACCCTTTCCCAGTTGCATTTAGTTCTGGCAAAGGGTTACAGGCCCAAATTGCTAATTCTGCTTTTCTTTCTACAGATGCTGTCAGACTTGTTGAGTTACTCCAGCACTTTGTGTTTTTGGTTGAGATTTCCAGCATCCGTGTTTCTTTGACTTATTTCACTCTGGGCTGTCTTCCAGGATGCAGTAACAGCACAACCTTTTTATGAGGCACTAAGTTCCAAGCGCGACAGAGAATCTGTTGTTAAGGTAAGAACCAATTAGTGCACATTCTGATATTGGTGATTGGTGATTGTTTATGCAGTGCTGGATTTACAGATTGCATGCTGCAGTGGCTTGTTTGCATGCCTGAGGTAACGTGGAAGAAGTTCGCTGCAATCATTTTTGGTGTAGAACGTAGAACGTAGAACATAGAACATAGAACAGTACAGGCCCTTCGGCCCACGATGTTGTGCAGAACTTTTACCCTAAACCTAAGGTTTATCTAACCTCCACCCCTACCTTATACTATCATCCATATGCCAATCTAATTGCTGCTGAAATGCCCCTAATGAGGCCGACTCCACTACCCTCTCCGGCAATGCATTCCATGCCCCTACCACTCTGAGTGAAGAACCTACCTCTGACGTCTCCTCTATATCTACCTCCACTCGCTTTAAAACTATGCCCCCTTGTAATAGCTACCTCCACCCTAGGAAAAAGTCTCTGGCTGCCCACTCTATCTATACATCTGATCATTTTGTATACCTCTATCAAGTCACCTCTCATCATTCGTTGTTCTAAAGAGAAAAGCCCTAGCTCTCAACCTTTCCTCGCAAGACCTTCCCTCCATTCCAGGCAATGTCCTGGTAAATCTCCTCTGCACCTTTTCCAATGCCTCCACATCTTTCCGGTAATGAGGCGACCAGAACTGGACACAATATTCCAGATGTAGCCGAACCAGGCTTTTGCATAGCTGGAGCATAACTTCACAGCCCTTGAACTCAATCCCTCTATTAATGAAAGCTAACACACCATACGCCTTCTTACCAACTCTATCCACCTGGGTGGCAGCTTTCAGGGAACTGTGGACATGAACCCCAAGATCCCCCTGCTCCTTCACACTGCCGAGAATCTTTCTGTTAACCCTGTATTCTGCTTTGAGATGTGTCCTTCCAAAATGAATCACCTCCCACTCTTCAGGGTTAAACTCTACCTGCCATTTCTCAGTCCAGTTCTTCATCCTATCAATGTCCCTTTGTAACCTAGAACAGCCCTCCGCACTACCCACAACCTGACCCACCTTCGTATCGTCCGCGAACTTACTAATCCACCCTTCCACTCCTACATCCAACCAAATCATTTACACGAACCACAGATCCTTGTGGTACACCACTCATAACTGAGCACCATGTTGAATATTTTCCATCCACTACCACTCTTTGTTTTCTAAGGGTCAGCCAATTCTGAATCCAATCTGCCACATTTCCCCCTATCCCATGCCTCTTTACTTTCTGCATGAGCCTACTATGGGGAACCTTTTCAAATGCCTTACTTAAATCCATGTATACCACATCCACTGCTCTACCTTCATCCACGTGTTTGGTCACCTCTTCAAAGAATTCAATAAGGTTTGTGAGGCATGATCTACCCCTCACAAATCCATGCTATCATGAATCAAACTGTGCCTATCCAAGTGATCATAAATCCTATCTCTCAGAGCCCTTTCCAATAATTTGCCAACCACTGAAGTAAGACTAACTGGCCTGTAATTTCCAGGGTTATCCCTATTCCCTTTTTTGAACAAGGGAATGACGTTTGCCTCTCTCCAATCGTCCGGCACGATACCCGTGGACAGTGAGGACGAAAAGATCATTGCCAAAGGTCCTGCGATCTCTTCCCTCACTTCCCATAGAATCCTTGGATAAATCCCTTCAGGCCCGGGGGACTTATCTATCTTCAAGTTCCTCAAAATTCCTAGTACATCTTCCTTACTAACATCGACCTCCTCTAGCCTACTAGTCTGTTTCACACTGTCCTCCCCTACAACTAGGTCCCTCTTAGTTGTGAATACCGAAGAAAAGTTTTCATTAAGGACCTCCTATCTCTTTAGGCTCTGTGCATAAATTCCCTTTACAATCCTTGATCGGCCCTACCCTTTGTCTGGTCATTCTCTTATTCCTCACGTATGTGTATAAAGTCTTGGGGTTTTCCTTGATCCTATCTGCCAAGGTCTTCTCATGCCCCCTCATAGCTCTCCTAAGCCCTTTCTTCAGCTCCTTCCTGGCCAGGTTGTATCCCTTTTCGAGCCTTTTCCGATCCTTGCTTCCTAAACCTTATATAAGCATCTTTCTTCCTCTTAACTAATCGTTCGACCTCTATCGAGAACCAAGGCTCCCTCACTCGACCGCATCTTCCCTGCCTGCTAGGGGCAAACATGTCGAGCACACACACTATGCATTCCTTAAACAATCTCCACATTTCTATAGTGCTCTTCCCTGACAGCATCTGTTCCCATTTTATGTTACCCAGTTCTTGCCTAACAGAATTGTAATTTCCCTTCCCCCAATTATAAACCTTACCCTGCTGTATGTACCTATCCTTTTCCATGACTACTGTAAAAGTAACAGAGTTATGATCGCTACCACCAAAATGCTCTCCTACCAACAGGTCTAACACTTGGTCCGGTTCATTGCCAAGCACCAAATCCAAAGTGGCCTCTCCTCATGTTGGTCTATCTACATACTGTGTCAGGAATCCTTCCTGAACGCACTGGACAAAATCCACTCCATCTAAACTATCACAACAAAAAAGTTTCCAAACAATATTTGGAAAGTTGAAGTCACCCATGACTACAACCCTGTGACTTCTGCACCTTTCCAGTATCTGCCTCCCAATCCATTCCTCCACTTCTCTGCAACTATTAGGGGGTCTGTAAAAAAAAAACCCCAAAGTGACTGCTCTTTTCTTGTTCCTGACCTCAACCCAAACTGACTCTGTAGACATATCATTCTCGAACTGCCTTTCAGTAGCTGCTATACTAGCCCTGACTAGCAATGCCACTCCCCCGCCTCTTTTATCACCCACCCTATTTCTTTTAAAGCATCTAAATCCTGGATCTTCCAACAACCATTCCTGTCCCTGAGTTACCCATGTAACTTTTTCAATGCGCTAAAACAGAGCCACATACTATCTGTTCTGTCATGCTTCAATCATCCAATACATCAACCCGCTCCCCTGCCAAGCCCATCTCCTTTTGAAAGTCCAACCAATCAGCACTGAACTCTCATGCTGTATAAATGTTTCCTCTTGAAGTGGTATTCTATTGATTTGCCCTGATGAGTGCAAGATGAAAAGCTTCAAAACAATCATTTTTAGCAATACTGTTCTGGATTTATGATTCCAGATGTTTGAAGTTTTTTTAAATGGTGTAAGGACATAGTGTTTCTAGAAGTTGATCATTGACTGTTGACAGTACCTTTGCAGTACTGCTCCATAGTAACGAGAAAGCCACTGGGCTTTACTTGTCATTATTCACTTATGCATGTCGTGGGATGTAGTCTGCTGTCAGGATAGTAGAGGTGAACCCACGCGGCAGGTAGTAGGGATGGCAGTTCATTGTTAGAGATTCTAGGCCAGGGGAGCAATAACTCGCCAGGATCACCACGTCTGTACACCAGAAGGTGTTGATTAGGAGGCAGACCCCACTGCCCCATGCCTTGCTTGAGGATGCCATGCAGTCGCTGCGATGTATACAGTAAGCTTCAAATTGTAAGGCACAGTTAGATGTAGCAGGAGTGAGCTATTAAGTGTCCTAGTTTTATCACTGCCTGAAGTTTTCCTATTACCTGACACATGTGACATGTCAGGCAAATACAACCATATCTTTATGCAGCCCAGGCTAATCAAAATGTTTCTGTATTTTGGCTCAAGTTTTCCTTAATGACCCGCATTTAGACACCTCAGTTGTCTGATTTTTCCATTGACTTTTCAACCAGAGTAAACATCATTCCCACCTGTGATCCAGCTATATCATTACCAAGGATAAATTGTATTTCCAGAACAGAGAATTTCTCTTACTCCTCCCAACAATTCTTCAGAAGAAGGGTCTAGGCCTGAAATGTCAGCTTTCCTGTTCCTCTGATGCTGCTTGGCCTGCTGTGTTCATCCAGCTCTACACCTTGTTATCTCAGATTCTCCAGCATCTGCAGTTCCTGCTATCAGCTAAATAGTTTATATATTTTCTAATCATTCAAAGATGTTATTACACACCCCTGGAGTTGGGGGTGGAACTTGAACCTTGGATTCCTGGCTCAGAAGTAGGGACAC